TTTTCATCTTTAGGTTTAAAATTGACCAACAACCTATGTAAGAGAACGATTGTGAGATTTAAATTTTTTTTATCGGTACACACCATTATAGATCTATTTTTACATTTTTAAACATAGTAATTAAGAGATATTACATACTTCAAAGATACAGCAAACTATGTTGGTTTCTTCCCAGATAGAAATGAACTAAATTAAACCCATTGACAGGTTACCTCACTATTTATATCACAATGGCTACACGTTTGAAAAAAACAGAGAGGCTGACCTAACATCTACTGTAAACACGGATCGTAAATATTTCTAAGTTTCAAAGTGTCTGTAAAATTATTAACTACTTTAAGTAATTTTAAATATTTCTTTTGAAGATTTTAGACCTAAACTGAGGTGTAAATAACTTCCTTACTAAATTGAACAGTTTTTCTGATTACTGGGCGATTGAACTCATATGTGAAAATTACTACTTAAAGGACTTCTATTCATTTAGAAGTAAATTAAGGATAGGGTTGACAAGAAATTTGGGACCTGCCATACTCTGGTCAGTGTGGTTGAGTGTTCTAAAATTACATATTTGTTATTCAAATATTCATATCTGCTTTTGATGCTTTAGAGTGTTCTTTTTAATTAAACATAACAAAAATGAAACAAGATTTGCATTGTTGGCTAACATTCGTGCCTTTATTGTTGAAAAAAAGGCCCGTTGAGTTAAAAAATAGCCTGTTTCGTATAGACATTCGTTAATTGAATGTTTAGAGCTATTGTATTAAATTATTTTGAATCGGCAGTTATTGAAGGTGCATTAAGGTTTGTGGAACAGCTGGAAAAAATATGCAAGGAACAAAACAAATAACTCTTGATCCTTTGTTGTGATTAATGGATTCTGTTGCATTATTGATTGTAGAACTTGATTGTTTGACGGGTTATTAATTTCATCATTTGTTAACGACTTGAAAACTTTTCTCATCGACTTACCAAGTTTCTGAATTTCTAGAAGACACTACAATTTGGGCGTACAATTTAAATCTCAGCAGTAAAAAAATTGATTCAAGATTTGAAAGTGTTGTATGTCTTCATCAATTTCAATAACGCGTTTATAAGAATTGATGAGGATCATTCGATATATTTTCTCACCTTCCTAACATACCTTAACTTGAAAGTAATCTTCCTTAAGTAAAATGTTTAATGCTTTACCGTTATCACTAGTTCTTCTAAATTTTGACATTTGTCATGAGTCATTGTTACTTTATATACCAGTTTCTCCCATGAAGTGTTTTTTTAGTTCACTAAGCCATTTGTATATCGACAACAGCCTCCTGAACGTTCAGTACTAATGACTGCAAACATTGGTTCTGAAAAAATTAAAAAAAAACTTAAAGTTACGAGGATATTTAAGGAGAATGATGTCATTATGGCTAAGTGGTTGTTTGGTTTTGTCTCCTCTAAAATTTATATTATTGGAATTAAAGCTGAGAGACATACCAATAAATTGGGAGGTGGTTATTTAAAGAAAGCGTTCCTACTCCCGGGATCGGCTTTCGAGTTTTTGACATTAATGGCAATAACTTGAAAGAATACGATTTAGAATATATTTTGTTGCTGTGTCCATTTAATTCGTTTTAAAATGACGCAGGCGAAAAATAAGGACCATGACCATCATTACTCAAGTAGGTAGGTACTTCGTATATATGAGCATCTACTCAGTGTTGTTCATACCACATAGCTTTGGGTCGGGCCGGACGCAGAACCATGTGTCAAACCTGCGATTTTGTTTCTAATTTACCAGTTATCAAACAAAGGAAAACCAATCTTTTAGCAAATTCCCTAATTATGCAACCATGAATACCAACATAAATATTTGTTTGGCATGTGCTATCTGCTTTAGTACTTTAGCTCCTCGGTGACCATTTACTCATTTTACTTTGGGGAGGGATACAATTTTAGCCTACATGTACTCTCTCGTAACCGTAATACTAAAAGTAATAAGATTCAGGGTTGCTTAAAATTGATATCGTTACTTTGATGCTCTCTGGTTGTTGTCAGTGCAGTGAAAATATTAATAACAGTGTCATTATTAACACGGGCATTTAATCTTGAGTCGCTTATCTTGCATTAGCGCGACAGGAGTAGTAATCATTAATTTGAAAACTGTTTTAGACAATGTTAAAAAAAAAAACACACAAAATGGGTTTCGCTACGAGCGTACAACCTAATTCATTCCACAATGACCAACCCCCCGTTTCGCTACAAGCTCTGCTTATTCCTAAAACCCCGGTAGAAATTACATACTTAGAAAAGGCATATTGTAGCTTATTATTTTATTTTTTTTTTTTAGTTTTAGATTATCACTTCTTTAAAGCCAAAGTGCCGATTTAACAGTAATTAAAAGAATTCTATTGCCATATTAACAGCCGTAAGTTGCAGTTGTTGGCTACATCTTTAAAAAAAAAAAAATCACTCTAAAAATGGGATCCCCTTTTCAGTTTTTCATGTGCCAAAAATAGCCTGTGGGATAAAAAAAAAACATATATATGTAGTGTGTATTTATTTTCAGATAGTTACAGTTTTCCATGATATATACTTTCGGAAGAAATAAATGTAACGTAACGACCTTCTCTGGGTCACGCTACGAACAGCGAGAGCCATCTGTTCGTTACAGGTCAGACTTCTTGCTACATGACTGTAGAAAACACTAAATAATTTAACCAATTTTGTCTGTCTTGAATGCAATATACATTATTCATTTTTGACCAGAGATTATATCTACGTAAATAAATATTCCAAGACGAGTGTTTCATTAATCTCAGCCCAGCATTTAAAAATACCAGAAATTCACGTTATTTACTATTACAATTTATGCTGTATACTTATACCGTAGATGATTCAATGATTCAGTTTATCAAAATATATTTTTTTTACAAGATCCTTATTATATTAATATAATTATTTTACAAAATATCAAAACTCACAGTTACGTTTTTCTAAACTTTGGGTAAAATTGTTGTAATAATTGAAGTACCATAATTTGTAAGGAAAATTAAAAACGGGAAATTTATTTTGTAAATTCTCTTTGCCACAAATTCATTTCCCACGTGGTAGTCTTGACATCATTTTTGAGAAAGCAGTTCAGGTGAAACACTCTGTGCATTAACAAACTGACGTACTGACGTTATTTTAAGAAATCCACTGTAAATTTGTTAAATCAAAAAGTTAGTTTGTTAGCATGTGGAATTAACCAAAACAAAAAAAAATACAAATATCAGAGTAACGTTGTTTTTTCACTTTTTAAAGGATCCACACTCAGTTTTCGTTAATTTATCTTGTTACTTCATTTCAATTTATTATTTGCATGTGCATTGGCGTGCGTGCGCCAGAAACCTGCATCTATTTTAAACTAATCTAATCTAATAATATACAATAATTTAGCCAGATTATAAAACCACATAACATCTCACTTGGCGGCTATAAATTTTGGTTGTTTACTGTTTTTCTTAAAATACAAAAAAATAGATCATTACGTCCCGATATAAAAAAAAGTGTTCTTAAAATGTACATTTCTATTACTCATGAAGCCAAAAAATAAATGTTGCGGGTTCATTGTCCCCCAGAAAAAATGTAATAAAATTAAATGTGGCAAACTTAAGTCATTGCACTTTGAATAGGTGCAGTTGGCAAAATTTCATGAGATCTATTAAACTGTGTTTTGGAACAAGTTGCGAAAGTCGGATCAAGCTTTATTCATCGTTCTTAATATACATATACACTTTGGCGCAAAAGTTTGGAAACACGATTAAAATTAAACGTGAAGTGGTAGACAGTTATTACAGTTTAATAAACCATTTAAAACTTGATTTAGATGTTACGTAAATGTATACTCGTCATTTTTAAACAAAACTTGAAAGACGTCTGTAATATAACCGGCTAATTTCAAGTTGGATTTGAGATATCGTAAGTCCCTGAGACGTTTATAATATAACAGGTTAATTTCAAGTTGGATTTGAAATATTGTAAAGTTCCCTTTGCCATGAAAATGCGATGTCAATAGCAGCAATAGCCAATCGCAGTTGCGGATTGCTACAACTGTCATCGCATCTTCCAGGGCAACGGGACTTGCGATATCGCAAATCTAACTTGGAATTGGTCCGTAAGTGAATAATATCTTGTTACTCATCATCATCATCACGTGAACTTTTTTTATTACGATATCATTTGTCATTTTACATTATAATTGAATTTGTAAATGTACATTTAAAAATGTTTTTCCTGATTTTAAACTTATTGCAGGATTAATGTGAGTTTTAAATGAGGTATTTTTAATATTGTGTTTCTATAGCAACTGTATAGCACAACCATAAAGTGCACAAGAACATGTTTTTTCACCGACCAGGAACAGAAACCGTTTTTTAGAATATCAAAATTGCAATATAAATCAAGTATTTTTTCATAGGAAAAATAATATTCAAAGTATTTTCCTAAGAATTTTCATTATGTATGTTTTTATTTTCCAAGCGTGGATTTCGGAAGTATTAATAATAGAGTCCATCCGACGAATGGTTAATATTCTGTCTTCTCAACGTTTCATATCCCCTACAGTATGAAAGTAGGTCTCCCATTTTCATCTCTCTGCCATCTGTTGCCGACTTTATTAAACAGATAGTCTCTCAAACTGATTGATGTGAACTTTTAGATGTTTTTAGGAATATCGTGTAAACGGTAAAACGCTAACCAAAATTTATCTCCACCAAGAATTCGATGACGTCGTTTCAAAATTTTGTTAAGCAAATCCTACTTAGATTTTATAAAACAACATCTTTCTAGACCTCTAGAATTCATAAACATAAAAAAATGTAGGAGTATAATATTTTAATTTATACAAGTTTGTTAATCCATCTCATCTTACCTTTATAAATTTAATGATTGATAAAAGCTAGATTTGAATTGGTTTCGTTACCTCTTTTTTCCAATCTTTCCAACTTGATTCTGACTACCTTTTTGTCTTGCAGCAGGAACCTGCTGGCTCGCCATGCTACGAAACGGACGCTGTACAGAAATTCTGTATGAGAAGAGCAGCAGAGAAACTTGTTGTGCCAACCACCGTGTTCACACAGCATGGTCTGCCGAAGAACTAGATCCTAGCACTTTCTTTTTCTGGCGAGTTTTGGGTGACGGCGTTCGATGTTCACCGTGCAAAGGTAAGCTCACTCTCCAGACAACCCCTCAGCTAAAAACGTCGCTTTAGTTTCCTGTAAAGACGTCGACTGCGGCGTCGACCGAACCTGCGTCGTCAAAAAAGGCCGTCCGAAATGCGTGTGTTCGTCAAAATGCAAAGAGGGCAAAATCCGGTCCAAACGAGGGCCGATCTGTGGGACAGATGGCCGAAGTTACCGGAATATTTGTAGACTGAAGAAGAGAGCTTGTCGTCACAGGTCCGCCCTGTCCATCGCCTACAGCGGCACTTGTCAAAGTAAGTTTTTCAAAATTCCGAGTGAGTATTGCTAAAAGTGATGTTTTTTTGGCAGCTTCCTGTGATAAAATCAAATGTCCATCCGGCATGCATTGCCTTCTAGACCAAAATCTAAGTCCGCATTGCGTCAATTGCACGAAGAAGTGTTCCGATAGCCCAAAACGGAGGGAAGTCTGCGGGTCGGATGGACTCACTTATCCTAGCGCTTGCCACTTGCGGGAGAAGACGTGTCGGAGGGGCAAAGCCATCCCTATTGCCTACAAAGGACCTTGCCGAGGTAATCAATTCTAAATTTTGGATTTTTTGTGTATGAAAACTAAAATTCTAAGAAAACAGTCAGTCCATTTATAAACGAGCTAAATAAATCAGTCTGTGTAGACTTTTGCGATGTACAGTAAACATTACCATCCTGGTTTCCGTGTACTTGACTGTAATTGAAAAACGTTGAAAACTTGTTAAATGAATACTTAAAACAGACCATTTTTTGCAAATGCGTTCGAAATTTATTACATGTAAGAGTGTTTTAAGATATGGTATGATATGTGCTAAAATTTAACAGTTTTTTTTTTTTTGTTGTTATTCAGTGACAGGAGGTTAAACATTGAAATAAGAATTACGCAATGAAATGCTAAGGACTTGCCTTTAACGCTTTTTATGGGTAGAAAACGAAACAGTGAACGAATAGAGAGACAAAAAGAATGATGTGGTTTTTAAAATAAATCAAACACCTTTCGTAACTTGTTTTCAAAATACGTTTTGATGTAGAGATGACTTTTACATTGAGATAAAGAGCTTTTCAAATCTTTATGCAGTTCTGTGCCTCCATCCCACCTCATATGTAATATTGTATGACTTAAGGAATTTTTAGTTTGCGTCGAAAGTGGCCTCCTAACGTCCTAACGCTTTCGTATTCTAGGGATATGAAACATCGAGAACACATGGAAGTAGCCATTCCCCGGATAGACTCCAGTTACAATACTTCCTTGGTTTAAGGTGGGAAAGTAAAAACTGGTCCATGACGGGATCGAACGCGAGACTTTCGCGTTATTAGCACGTGCCTATTCATCCGAGCTAAAAGCAGTTGCTGAACGTTCACCTTATATTTCTATGAAACGTTATAACACAATTTTATTTTTGCAAAAATTAAGGTGTCTAGGGTAAAAACTGAAGAGGGATACATAAACCACAAGTACAGGAATATGTTGATTTATAAAATTTAAATAGCATTTGCCATGCAAGATTTTGAGGTCACGTCATCAAATTGATGGTGGGAGAATTTTTGACTAGCATTTAACCATCAACACTCGAAACGATTTTACTACTTATATAAAATTTGACACAGACGACAGAGAGACAGAAATGGGGATCTATTATTTCATACTCTTGGGGGTTATGAAACATCAAGTAAACATGAAATTGCAGTATGGCCCTTACGCTCGGGAAGTAAAAATGAATGAGAACAATCAAATTTTATAAGATTTTGTAAGACGACACCACATATTCGTCTTTTCCAAAAAGTGGCATCTGCAAAAAATACTAAATAAATGTTCATTGAAAAATGTTTATTTTATTGCTTCCCGAGCTAAGAAAGTATTACTTTATGTTTTCTCGACACTTCATAACCCCTGGAGCCTTGGAGTATGAAAATTCAATAGGTCTCCAATTTCCCTCTGTCTATTGCCTGCATCGATTTTAATTGGACAGATAATCTCCAAAACTAGTGAACCGATCAAATTTTGTACGTATTTTAGGAATATTGTGTAGAGGGTAAAACGCTAACCAAACTTTATCTAATAATCCCCACCCCAATAATTTTATGACACCAAAATTTTGGATCGTAAATGTTATTTAAATTTTATAAGACAAAATACTCCTACAGGTGTGGTGGTTGATGAGTCCGTCCTCATTCTTTACCTTACACATTCAGATTTTTGGAAAAAATTACAATTATCCAACATTTTTGTAAAATGAAATGAATGAAGTTTTTAGTTCTGAAAAAAAATGGAAAAACGAATTGTCTGAATCTTTGCAAACGTTTTGAGGTTATGGTAATCGTGGTAAATCGTTACTCAAAAGTTATCTGTTTATTACTTTATTAACTACCTCATTTTCGGTTACTTCGATGATTTTTCAAAATTAAAATACGTAAAAAATTATTTCAGAACAGACCTGACAATCTTACATATAGAGAAAAGATAGGTATTTCAACCTAAAATTTGCAAGTTTGAACAATGCAAAAAAATTTAACCAATATTCCATTTTCTCCAAAACGAACCAATCATAATATGATTGGTTCTGCTGCTTGGTAGGAATGATAGAATTTTGGTATTTCGATATTTTTCTGGATATTTATTAATATTAGTCAGCACATTACAATTATGGTTATTCGTGATACGACGATGTTTTGACTACATTGTAATTAATGTAATTATGGCTAAATTGATGAAGATGCCCAGTAATTCTGATACCCGATTTGATATCTGCTTTACTATTGTTTAATGGGTAGAATATTGTTGAACTATTGTTAATCACATTTTTGATAGCGTCCAAGCTATTTTTTTTTACCTGGTTTTGTGACTTGCGCTTTAACTGTTTTGGGTTATTCTGGCCTCTCTTCCAGCAATCGCACTGTGAACCACTATATAATGTAGGCCAAAATGCTCAGTTGACGAAGCCTTTGGGATATGAATTTCACCTCTTGTCCCTCCGTCAGTTCAGGGTGGTCATGGCGTAATTGGAGCGTGCCAAATAAGATCAAAATTAAAGTGTTGTTCATTGAATCGATGATTGTTGGCACTCATGCTGATAGACTTCAGCACTGATAAAGGAACCTGAAGAATCTCTGATAACGGCCTTCAAAATTCCCTTTTCACAAATTACAGTTCACACAAGAACTTCTTTTCCAATTGTTTATTTACATTTTTATTTGATACTATCAGAAACATTATTTTTATGACCAGTATAAAAGATGAATGGCCCAGGCGTATGTCGTTGCTAAAAGTAAGGGTGTTCATTGATCACTTCAGATTTGTGTTACAGATATACTCACGGAAAAATAGTTTGTGCTCATACTGATCAATTCAATATAATATTTAATATCCTAATTCGTTATACTGATCTCTAAATTATAAATTGTAGTTATTAAAAAATATTTGTGTATTTATCTAATTACTTTTAGCCCACCCGTTATCAGGTGTTCTCATTCTTTTTATAGAAGGTGCAACATGCAGCATAGTCAGGTGCCAAGACCGACAATCCTGTTTAACAGACCTGTCAACGGGGATGCCCCGATGCGTGAGCTGTACTTCCACCTGCCGTCCAAGACATATGCACGGTCCCATCTGTGGCACCAACAACAGCACTTACCATACCTGGTGCGACATGATGCTCGATTCCTGCGCCAAAGGCTACATCATCGATACCAAGCATCCCGGAAAATGCGTAAGCTCTCGTCAGTCGTAAAAGCTCTCTGGCAGATTTTGATGTTGCTTCTTCTGTTTTTAGACTACAAACATTTGATCTTCAGTAAACGTTAGACTTAGAGAAAACTAAAACCAAAGAATAGCAGCGATATGGACTATATTCATAAGGAATTCCATTGCATTACAGAATACAAATAAATTCTAGTTAAAAGTAGAGATTTTAATAATTCCAAAGTAGATTAATCTGAGAGGTTATTCGTGTCGTAGTATTCAAGTGAGGTAGTTTGTAACACTCAGATAAGTAATTCAAGTGTTCTAATTTCTTAATTTAATACTTAAGGTAAAGTTAGCGGCTGAGGGTCTTGCCAAGCGCTCGGGCCCCGTCTATGTAATAATTCACAGTAATAACCAGTATTGAATTTTTTAGTAAAGTAGATGCAACAAACGCGTTCACTAAGTGTTGTTGTATGGTATATTTACTTGAAATTCGTGTATTTTGTTGACAAATTCTAGTCGGAACTAACAGACTTGTTGGATAGCGCCGGTTTTTAAATGTAAACAAATTAAATCTAATTTATTGTACTATATCGAAATAATAACCGTTTGATTTGCATTTAAAACCTTTTACAGCTGGTTCTCAGACAACAAATAACATTAACTTAACCGACGTGATCTTTATACAGAAAACGTGTTCGGATAAATAAATGGGGAATTAAGTAAATTGTCAACATTTCAAGTTTTGCATGGTTGCTGAAAAATTATCATAAAGTTTTCCATGGATGCACAGGAATGCATAACGTGACTCTTAACCCAAAAATGCCATCTGACGAAATTTATCTCGTCTAGATAACTGAATGCTTTCCGTTTTATTGCACTTTCGAGCGCAAAAATGCAAACCGAGATTATGCCACACCGTTATTCTTATGTCATTTAATAGCTCATTATTTTTACGTGCCAACAGTTTTAGGTTTATGTTTCTTCCTGATTGGTCGTAAAATCAGACAAAATGAATCTGCTTCGCGGTTTCGTTTTTCCCTTCTTATCACTAACACACTACATGTATTACCTTACGTTTTAACGATCGACTCCCCCGTATTATTTATCTGATTCGACGTCCAACGTATCCCAAAACCGTGTTGCATTTTTTCTAATCTGCACTATTCATGGCTGATACCAAAAAAATTTGATTGTCTGAAAACACAATTTATTTTTCTATTGTTTTAAATTATAATTATAATTCAAGTACTTAATGAATTATAACTATTGTGTTTGTAATGTAAAATAGTTTGTATTGTTTTGTTAATTGATTCTTTACGTACTTGTTGTATCTTTTGTACAGTATTTTATTATATTAAAGTATTTTTGTATTGTTATTTTTAAGAAATTATGGTGACTTATGTAAAACAAGATGTATTAGACTGGCATAACTTATTAAATATTTATTGTAGATTTAGATAAATAAATCACTAAAACAACCATCCTGATAGTACCACTTTTTTTCTGCTCCTTCACAATCCAACCCATTTATCAATTACAAGTAGAACAGTAAAATAAAATACTCGTAAATGCCGTCACTTGTTATATCATACAAAAAGAAAACGATTACCCTAATTCATTCACAATGGTATGGACAAAAAGATACCACCTTAATTTTAACACCAAGAACAATCTATCCACTGAAGTCCTAAACGACCTCAATCAATGTCTCTAGTATTGGCAACAGTTGTTGCATGCAGTAGTATACTATCCTCAAACATATTTGGCGTTTATGACTTCACACCAATTTGACTCCCATTATAATTCAATAGGCCGTCACAACCGGATGTCTTAAACCCGCTCACCGATACCTACCTGAAAAGACCTTTTCTGGTAAAAGCACAGGGCAGGACTGAGTTTTGCATTTACCGACAACTGCGCCTTTCGAGTTTTTTATTTTAAGTAAAAACAAAGTAACTTTGTACTCAATCATTTTTTATTACAGCACAACTATTTACTTATTATCTACTACTGCTTATTTATTGATCGAAATAGTCACTGTCATCATCACTCGACTCTTCCAAATTAATAATTGACGGTTTTATCAACCGTGCCCTGTACTGGTCTTGTTCTTTTGTGGAATGTCGTACACAATTGGCCCACATTTCGGCAGTTATTTTGGAAGCTTCTTCCCTAATTATGTCAATTGTTGCACTACTAAATTTTGGTGCCGTATTATTCCTTCTTATATTATTATTCATTTGCGACCAGATTAGTTCGATGGGGTTAAATATACAATGGTACGGCGGAAGTCTAATCACCCTAAATCCACTATCTCGTGCCATAGCATCTATTTTATATTGTTTCTCAAATTTTCGAGTGTGTAACACTTCTAATAATTGTGTCTTTGTGTAATTTTCTTCAAAGTATAAATCATGTTCTGTAAGGAAATTTTGAAATTTGAAAATTTTAACAAACAAAATTACTCTGAGTCCGGTCCTTCGCGTCTCGACCGTCCCTGGCACGTCGAAAAGGTCTTTTCAGGTAGGTATCGGTGAGCGGGTTTAAGACATCCGGTTGTGACGGCCTATTGAATTATAATGGGAGTCAAATTGGTGTGAAGTCATAAACGCCAAATATGTTTGAGGATAGTATAAGCATATTCATTTTCAACAGTAACTCGCTACTTGTTGGAATTTTCTGTAAAACTGATAGGCACTATAGGAACAATTTTCGAGGTAAGCCTTTTTGCAGCGGAGAACCTTAGGACATTTTTCTCCAGACTGGACCGTATATTGCAGAAGACCTGAAACATAATACAGACCTAATAAATAGGGCCTGGATTTTAGAATATTAACCTTTTCGTCAATTCTTAAGACATTCACATGAAACCCGGACATAAATATGTTTCATGGAAAACAATATTATTTAAACCCAGATTATTTTTGCCTAAACACCTAAATTGAATATTTGCGATCTAAAATTATGTTTTATGACCTAAACGACCTAAAGTATCATTTTCTAAATTTCGCGTTCAATTGGATAGATATAGATACATCTGGTCTTTTCTTTAAATGCCGTTTGCCGAGTAATGAATTTTATCTGCGACCTACATGATAATTACTTGTTATGACGGTTATTTGACATATGTAATCGACACTACTATTTCACTAGTGGTGTAATGAAATTCATTACACAACTCATTTTGATCTTCAAGAATAAATTTATAATAAATATAGAGATGGAACATTTTATTTAAGTAAATTACGAACAATATAACACTTATGTATTAAGGTTACTATAAACACTAATCACAATGTTTTCAAAATTGGATATATTGGTACCAGTTGATGTGGTTAGCTGTGTTGTGTTTTTAATCTCTATTTCCCCTACAATTTCACAACTTTTTTATTCTTTCTTTTGATGTATCAATGTACCCCTCCGCCACTATATTCATAGAAATAATATTATATGGAAGTAACTTAGAGAGAGATGCGCGTTGTCAACACAGTCGGACAGAGATGGGTTTCTTTGGGTGGCAACACATTGGCGCGAAACTGCCCGGCAATGTGTTTCTGGGAGGTTTCTTTCGTGTTCTCGCATGGTGTGTGAAGGTGTTTTGTTTGCAAAATTACGTTTAGTGGACTCAAGTTACAATTATTTAAATTAGTAGTGTTCTTAGGTTGTATTTTATCGAACTATTTGTTAAATATGGTGAAATCGTGTTGTGTATATAACTGCACGGAACGTGCAATCCGCAATTTTATTTCATTTCACAGGTAGTAATTACATGTTGTATACAAACGAAGGATTTCGCATAATATAAAAATTTTGTTAGATTCCCTAAACATCCCGAATTACGAAAAAAAAATGGATTATAGCTACAAAAAGGGAGGATTTTATACCTACTGAACATACTCGTATTTGTGGAAAACATTTTCTAGAATCAGATTTCATAATCCATTTTGGTAAAAGACGAAATGAACGAAATTAAAGATAGAATTAGACATGTTTATAATAAATTAATTCATTTCAAACATCAATAATTTTTTTCTTTAATCATTAATCAAGATTATTATTTTTTAACTCATTTTTGGTTATTGTGTTAGTTAATTGTACGTGAATTTAAAAAATTGATCTTGGTAGAGAATTCACACAATTTAATATGTTTAATTAAATTAGTCAAACTGTTAGTTTTTCCGAAAGTTTAATTACTTTTATCCTAAAAATTCAGATTTCCAAATGTTAGCTTGAAAAAACAATTATTGTACACTATTAGATTTCGGTAACTTGTAGAAGATTGTTGTATTAATTGAATTCGTAATGTATTGTAGATTCTGCACACATTTCATTTTATTAAAAGAGGATTTCCATCGCTTAACACGATTTCTGTTATTTTAGATTATATATAATTATAATGTAAGCTGTGAAAATATAGTTTTCATTAATAAACGTTTGTTATAATAATTTGTTTGAACAAATTCGGAAGAAAACGTATTAATTCCCGTGCAAATGAAGCGTTTCTTGCCACTCAGCACGTGACACCCAGTCAGCCGTCCTTTCCCCACTGACGCATAACCGGTCTAGCTATTTCTCTCTTATGTTGATTACACTCGCCTGCGTATGGAAACGTATACAAGGCTCCATCCACTCCTTTATTATATCAATGACTATATTCGATTTCCAGCCTCCATGCCTACAAGCATCGAAATGGAAGAGCTTATGAAGCAATGCCCAATGTACTCTTGATGATCTGATAAATTAAAATATGTAGCGATGTTTTTTGGTATACTCCCAAACGTATACATCCGTACAGGTTGTATGTACAAAAACCTTTCCTGTATCTAACAAAAAATCATTCATAGTTGGTATTCTAACTATTTCCACCATATCAAGTCCCTGGATGTCACAAAAAAAAAAGTAATTCGTGTGTTACGCCTTAAAAACAAAACACTCGGTATAGTAAAAAATAATGTTTTACTATAGCCCTCAAAGAACCGTAGAACTTTAGTTTTTGTCTTTTTTTCTATTTCTAATAAATCTCACCCTGTATATTAGGAATATCGTGTACCTATACGATAAAACGCTAACCAAAATTTGGCTAATCATCCCCACCAACATTTTGATAACGTCATTTCAAAATTGTAAACAGTAAATATAAAAGAACGTAGTCTCCACGTGTACTTTATCAATCCGTGCTGAGTTTTTACCCGAGACATCCAGATATTTGGAAATAAAAAATCAAAATTGTATAACAATATGTTATATCGTAAACAGGGGGCATTTTTTTCCCAAAATATATTTATTTATTCCCTACCCAGCTTCTCAAAATTTTACCGAATAAATCCTATGGAAATTGTGCAAAATATGATGAATTGCATATACAAGGCGACTCAAAAAAAAAATGAATGAGTAAATTTATTTTGTTGATCAATTGGGAACAGGAAATGCAAAACCAAATGCTTTGAAATCTTGGAGATGTTTTAAAGTTATCGTAAGCATGATAGATTTTTAATCAAAATACTATATCCAAAAAATTTATGACGTCCTCTCATTTTAATTTTTCGAAAAAACTGGATATTATTTATTGCACTTCAGAGGTGAAGGAAATTCTGTCGAAATAACCTTCGACCAATTTTTTTAGCTTTTGTTAATGTGTTTAAATTTGAAAATTAAATTTCTTCTACAAGAAAATAATAATTACAACATTTTATTGCAAATATTAAATTATTATTAACATTTGAAAGTATTAAAATTCGTATAATAAATACATCAAAGAATTTAAAAAAATCTACATGAATCTAATTCTGAATTAAAAACAGGGTGATCATTAAAAAAATGTCGTACCCAAATACAAATGAACGTTAAACGTTAATTTCTCAAATCTGAGTACATCGGTATAGTATATTTAAAACGATTTAATTTGACATATTACACACAGTGCTGTACTCGACAAAATAAGACAGCAACTGGCCTGGGCTTGCATTTCGTTGTATTCCACAGTTTTGACCATTCATGCTCACATGGTCTTATTGTAACGGGATCCAAGGAAAAGGGTAATTAAAATGTTGACCCAAAGGGCGAATTATTCATCAATACTTCCATAAATGACTGAGAACGAAGTGAACGAAATGAGAGATATTTGATGACCGGGTTGCAGTAATGCGATTCGTTCACGATGTTGATCAGATCTTCCCATCCATATATGAAAATATTTGTATAGTCCTTTAAAAGCCCCTTTTGCTTCCAGGAATATACCATATCTCTGAGATCAAGATTAATTTTCTCTTAGATTGCCGCGGACAGAGACATCTAACGGCAGTGAAACAAAACAAGACACTTGCCGGGCCAGCAGATCAAACTTCGAACTGCAGTATTTGATAGCACTACTCATAGGAGTGTTTTAATCAGAAGATGACTGATTAGTGATTACCTGGTAATACGTACGATGGTATTCGGGTTCAGTTTGTTTAAATTTAAATGCAGTGGTTAACGTCATTTTTAATTACTATAGCAAACTTATAGTACATGTTTGGCTGAAACTTAAAATTAATAAATTCACTGTTGCTCTGGCAGTTCGGCTTGTAAATAGGGAACTAGAGAGTGTCTTGGCAACTGCTCTAAATAGTTTAGAAGATGTTTTGTCCCATACACTCATCTGACGTTACTGCGAGCGTGGGTGTTTTTAATGATAACTTCCTAAATTTATTTAATCATTTAGTCTAATGCATCACACTCTACTATGGAACAAATAATATGGATGAAGTCACTAGAGAAACGAATATCGACATTATCAACCCTGGTTGATTTTATTTTCATACGTGGCCCAACCTGATATGATTTTAAACAAGTGTACGTCAGGTGATAATGCAATTTCTGTTCATAAATAAATTCATATTGTTGAACCTACCTGAAAAAGTAAAACAGAAAAACTTTTACAGACTTCAAATATTTTAATTGTAAGAAATTTTACACTCATCTAACCGAAGAATATTTGACAACGTATTAAGTTTAAATGACTATTATGCTCCTGTTCGCACAATGAGTGAATGAGACCAAACTTACGATTGTTATAAAAAACGTCCTCAAATTTGCGGCTTTTAAGAGAAAAAAAAAATGGTCGAAAGTTATTTCCCCTGAATTTTTCGCATCCGAACTCCGAGTTCTGCGCTAGTAAGTATCGCTGCGCCACGGAATCGTCGTATTCACTGTCGCTTATAAACGGTTGATTTTTTGTGAAGATTTTGATGCCTTGTGTAAAAATTCTAGTTTTTAATAGTTTTATCGAGAAAAAATTAGACACGCAGTGGTCACAAATACTGAAAATGTGCTTTCTCACATTGTATTGTTTTAAGCTTTAATCTAAAAAGCATACGCTATAATGATTATTTATAACTAATTACTTTTGAGTGCAATATTATTAACATATCATGGACGTCAAATCATTATTTCGAAATTTAAAAACAATCCACTGGATTATCTGCTTTGGTGTTTGTAGTGGGAGTTCCCTGGAGGCACCTATTTAAATTCATTTTCGCCCACATTCAGTTAGTTGAAAACACTATTTGAAAATGCATGTTTTAAATCTAGTGATTCTACTGTTACTTCCAGCAGGTAATACATTTAATTTTTATTGTAGATATGTTAATATTTACATACGAATTGATCTGTTACATATATTACTAGTATATATTATTAAAAATGTACAGTCAGAAACCAGAGTATTATGTAATAAAAAAAGCATGTTCCTCAGATCACAGATATAATTGTGCTAAACACATTTCAGTCAACAGTTTTGGAAAATTGCAGTGGTGAAATTAAGTTTTTTACAAGTATTTCTTTCATATCCAAAAGGGTATACACAAGTTATTACTATTAGTTATTAGTTATTACATCTGTTGTTTTGTTACCACTTCTAGAAAAAAGCTTTTTCAGTGAAAAGTGAAGACGACTGTCCTTCCACTGCCAAATCTCAGTTAGCTGAAATTCGGCTGAGAAGGCATCTGCTGTGTGACTACGATAAGTACGTCCGACCTGTTTTCACGAAAAACCAAACTGTATATTTGAAAATAGGATTGTCGTTAAAATATTTTCAGTTCGTAAGGTACTATACAAAATTGTAAACTGTTTCTCAATGCACAAAATTTCAGGACATGCATGACAATAGTTTTACACTTGAAAGTTGGATGAATTTGGTAAGTAAAAACTTTTTTTAATTTGGTTTTAATGTTATGGTGTTATTATAACTCTCCATATCCAAACAAAATATGACTTAAATCAGTGATGACATAGTCATTTGATTTCCCTTTATTTTCCAAAAGAAAAATGAATCTTTTTAATTAAGTAAGTCCTGCTACAATTTTTGCTTTTCACCATTCCTTCTCTCACCTTCTTCGTTACATTTCATACTTCCAATTTAATTTTTTATTAAATAACTAACTAATGATGCTGACGCTTTATAGTACTGGAGAGATCTACATCTTACCTGGAAACCTGAAGAATACGATTCCCTTGAAGACATCCGTATGCCTATTAACGACATATGGATTCCTGATCTTTCTGCTTATAACAAGTACAAACTTTGATTAAATTTATCTTTATAATACAACTGTCCACTCTAATTCTAGAAGAATTCAAGGTGGAGAACAATCACTTGCACAAAGTACTATCTGTATAGTGGAATTCACCGGCAACGTCACATGCGTACCATCAATAAGTCTTACAACAACTTGTACACACGATTTAACTAAATATCCATTCGACACACATAGTTGTTACGTCTATTATGGTTCCTGGACCTACACAGGAGAAGAATTAAAGCTAGACTTTCTCTCATCTCCGATAGATCAAACAGACCTAATAGAGAATGGAGAATGGAAAATACTCAAAAGCGATTACAATCGTAGTTACAGAGTATATGGCTGTTGTCCTAATAGTACCTACCCAATAATAACTATTCACTTCGAGATTGAAAGAATACCAGGAGCTCATATTATCAGAGTCATTTTACCTGCCATTGGTAGAAAAGTGCAATTTTTTGTCTTTAAATACAACTGTTTCTTTTAGCTTTGGTGATTATCACCTTAACGTCCTTTTGGATTGCTCCAGACAGTTCGGATCGTTTGAATTTATGTTACATTAATTTTATTGCTGCGTTTCTTTATGTGCAGTACATAACATCTTTGGTTCCAATGAAAGCTGATACAATTCCATTAATATGTAAGTATTCCTAACAAAAAAATGTGTATATTATGTGTAATGATTTTATTACAGTATTTTTTGCTAGAGATTCGCTGCTGTTATCGACCTTCACAATAATTTTCAGCTTGATTTTGAAGTATATGGTTAAGAATGAAAATCCAGCTCCGCTGTGGATGTCAAGGGCTCTAATGATCTTCAAGTGGTTCAAACTTAGAAAAGTACTTCTCCGACGGAATCTTTCATTGGAAGTAAAATACGAAATATGTAATTAGTACTATAATACGTGTGGACTTATTCCAGATTCTCAGTTTAAATAAGGAAGATGGAAATGACGTAAACGTGAATGACGACGGTTTGCGAAAAAAAGAGTGTATGATATTTGCTCAATTTTTAGACAGATTGTGTTTCTTGGTTTTCTTAGTTTTATATTCGTGTATGTTTGTGGCTTTTACCCCTTAAAAGCAATCGTTTTCAATAATTACAGAGTAAGGATTTATTCTCGTATTTTTGTGTTTTAAAATAATATTTACCAGTGGCGGCTCGTGAACTTTTCTTCAGAGGAGGCTCAAATTTGAAAAGCACTACTTTTTATATCTTTTATTATCTGAATAATTTTTTTCGTCATGCCCACGAAAAGAACACTCTTGCGTTGACAGATAAATTATATTGCATCGATTAGTCTTTTCAAAATTGCCCAATTTTCACCAACTTTCTCGTAATAGTTCTCCCTTTTATGAGCCGAATCTAAATTATTGGCAATGTTTTGCTTACCAAGCATTTCTAATTTAATCGAAGAAAATATGTGTTCCTGTGATTTTTCATGTCTTTCTATAGCTCGTGACAAATTTTGTAAATTATTATAGCCTGTTTTACCCCAAGCGGAAGATTTATCACTAATACACAATTCCAACAGTATAATTTGTTTCTTAAAACTGAAGCCGTTAACTATTTAGTTTTATTATAATTATTTTCATGAAATGCTCTGTTTTGTTTCTAATTGTAACTGTCAATACCATTAATGGGAGTGATGGTGTTGGTCTTCCCTTTTATACCCTTACCTACGTAAAGCCTAAACACCACCACCACTGAACAGGGAGCTCGCGAAACCACCTCAATGTTTTTCCTACTTACACCCGATTGCTGCAACTAATAAGAAAGAGATAAAGTTATCTGTACGACTTGATCTGAAAAGAGATGAACTAGCCGGAGGCTAGCGGCTTGGAGCGGCAGTGCGATGAACGTTTTAGCCAATGCAATACACACTGACGATGCGTCAAGGTCACGGTCTCATTGTTCAGATGCATCGTCGTTCGGAGGCTAGCGGCTAGCAAGCCTCTGCCGCTGAAACCAAACGCGGAGTGGTGTGAATGTGAATTATGATTGTGAGGGCACAAATATAAATTTTTCCGACATTTTAACCTGATATATGATGAAAGTAAATGAAATCCAAGAAAATATTCTGAAAAATGACAAATGTCTACAAAAATATAAATTCTTTCATCGAAAAAAATTAGAGGAAGCTCAGCTCCAAAAATAGAGGAGGCTCAGCCTCCCCTGCCTCCTCTGAGGAGCCGCCACTGATATTTACCTTTGTCAAAATTCATTGTCTGAGTTTTGTTTATCTTTTTTCTGAGCCCAAAAAGGCCACTATAGACGCTGACAATTTTAGTAAAAAATAGTCACCGTGTGTGATGCAGATGAAAATGATACTGAAATATATTTTTCTCCAACAGGGAGTAAAAATAATTATTTTCTACAGAAATCAAGTCTTGTCAAGATTATGCAATGATGACATTGTAACAAAGTAAAACGACTTTCTTAGAATTACGGCATACAGATTTTTTTGATACTATTCTCTAACTTTCCCCATTCCAATGAATATGGCGTGACTAGCGCTCATTTATCTAGATAGAAACCCAACATGAAAACGGTTGGATTGTACAATTCTGACCCTTCCCACAGTGACATGAACACAAGGATAATGTAACGTGTGCCTAAAAACAGTTTTTTCGATTTTTACAATTACTGATTTTCAACTAAGCTGCTTGATTCTTTAACGACATTGGAAATTACTAAAAAAAAAAAAACTAATAACAGAGTCGTAATTTTGTAAAAATTTAGAATTGTTGCTTCTGTATAAATGATCTTGCTTGCGTTGTCATGTCTAGGTTTATATGTGGGCGCTAAAGGCGAAAATATTTCTTCAGTTGTGAGACTTGCATGCTGGATAGATTTTCTAAGTACTGGAAATCTCTTCCAGTAGATGATTTCAGATGATGTCTTTGGTATTATGTAAACACTTTTTGGTTTTTTAAATTTTCTAAATTAGTTTGTGGTCAAAAGGATATGTCAGTAGCGGAATAACGGAATGTTTTGTTCGTTTAATTAGGTGTTGTCAATGTGAGAAGGCCGATTAAAACCAAGATATTGTATGTTTCATTTCAATTTTCTGCTTCGATCATTTCCCTATTTTGTGTTAATTGTAGGATTAATTGTTTGAACACTTCTTGTAATTGTACTTTACATCTGTCTATACCAAAACGCATTCCGTCTCTACAAAACGTATTCGTTAGCTTTAAGAAGTTGGTCAACTGATTTTTAGTACATACTTGCTTATGTTCATAAAGTGGGCTTTTCCGCACATTTTTCGAGTAAATTTCAGTCAGTTTGGCATATTTTGTGCACTTTCGCACTGGTGCCAAACTACCACCGCACCCGATCGGCAGTTCGGCACGAGATTTGGCAACATGGTAAAGGATCTACAAACATGCAACAGAAAATCATTAATTGAAAGCAGAATTTCTTCTTTCCACAGGTAGATGGCAATATGAGAATATTTATCATAAGCAAAATCGGAAAATAGTGAATAATGCCAAAGTTCGGCGTGCGTAAGTGTTTGACTTCCACCACTAGTCCTCAGTCCAGGTACAATTTATATTGCAGAAATACTTTGTTTTGAGAAATGTGAAAATTTGAACCAAATACTGCGCAGTACTACGTGCAGAATGCTCAAAATTTTCTTACGTATAACGCAAGGCCTTTTGTTGTAGAAAACCAGTTCTTTTTTGAATCTATAATTTTTTGGAAAAAAAATGCGAAACTGCCTGTTGAATTCGTGTTAGCGTACGAACATTCTGAGCATGTTACACTTAGTATTAGTATTAGGTATTTGCTTCATTTTATCAACAACATGGAATGTCTGCAGTATAGATTGCATCTGGGCAAGATAAGTGGTTTTTAATATTTCAACAGACCAATTCAAGCAGTAATTCAAATTTTTAACAAACAATTCTAGTACTGGGAACCAAAGGCATTATTAACTGTTTAAATTTTCGTATTTTGGTGACTGACAGCTATTTTCTTGTGTGCCAAACTGCCTGGTGCATGTGTACGGTACGCAATTAACAGGCAGTTTCGCATGATTTTTATTTTTTTCTAAAATATTTAATCATTAAAAAAAATATTTTTAACAACAAAAGACTTTATATTACGCGTAAGAATATTCGGAGCAAGGTAAGTGTAAGTATTATACGTACAGTATACGTATTTTTTTTATTAAAAAAAAACATCACATTATAAATTGTGTTTGGACATGTTAAGTGGTTGCTGATGTTCCAACAGACCAACTCAGTCGGAAATTGACATCTAGAGATTTTTTATGGTGTAATGGTCCAATTCAAGCGAAAATTTAAAATTTCAACAAAAATGATATACTTAGAAATTAAAAACGTCATTAATTGTCATAATTTTCTCATTTCGCTGACTGTGACATTTTGATAAATTTTAACGTGTGTGTCAAACTGTTGCTGCTTGCGTACAGTACGCATAATGCAGTACTTACTTAATTTTTTCGAAAACAAGCAAGTTCTGCAGTAAATAATGTATCTGAACGTAAAAGTCGGTTTATTAATGTTTCAATAGCCTAATACAAACTGCAATTTACATCTTAAAGAAACAGGAGATACTAGGGAAGTAAGGGTGTAATTAATTGTAATAATTTTCGTATTTTGATGACCTTGACAGGTATCTTTGGTGCCAAACTGCCTGTTGCATGCATACGGTACGCATTTAACAGGCAGTTTCGCATGATTTTTATTTTTTCCTAAAATATTTCATCTCTAAAAAAAGGGATTTTTAACAACAAAAGACTTTATATTACGCGTAAGAATATTCTGAGCAAGCTAAGTGTAAGTATTATGCAGTATATGTTTTGTTATTTAAAAAAAAGTATATTTCTACATTATGAATTGTGTCTGGACATGTTAAGTGGGTGCTGATGTCCTAACAGACCTACTCAGTCGGAAATTCACATCATTAGCAAACAGAAGTCGTTAAGGAAGTAAAAACAAAATTAAGTTTCACCACTTTCGTATTTAGCTTAAGTTGCCATGGATTTACGTATTTATTGGACAAACTAATTAGAGGTTTTTAATGGTGTAATGGTCCAATTCAAGCGAAAACTTAAAATTTCAGCAAAAGTGATATACTTAGAAATTAAAAACGTCATTAATTGTCATAATTTTCTCATTTTGCTGACTATGACATTTTGATAAATTTTAACGTGTGTGTCAAACTGTTGCCGCTTGCGTACAGTACGCATTATGCAGTACATACTTAATTTTTTCGAAAACAAGCAACTTCTGCAGTAAATAATGTATCTGAACGTAATAATCGGTTTATTACTGTTTCAAAAGCCTAATACAAACTGCAATTTACATCTTAAACAAACAGGAGGTACTAGGGAAGTAAGGGTGTAATTGATTGTAATAATTTTCGTATTTTGATGACCGACCTTGACAGGTATCTTTGGTGCCAAACTGCCTGTTGCATGCATACGGTACGCATTTAACAGGCAGTTTCGCATGATTTTTATTATTTCCTAAAATATTTCATCGTTAAAAAAAGGGATTTTTAACAACAAAAGACTTTATATTACGCGTAAAAACATTCTGAGCAAGTTAAATGTAAGTAGTCTGCAGTATGTGTTTAAAAAAACAAAGAATATTTCTACTTTATGAATTGTGTCTGGTCATGTTAAGTGGGTGCTGATGTCCTAACAGACCCACTCAGTCGGAAATTGACATCTTTAGCAAACAGAAGTGATTAGGGAAGTAAAAACAAAATTAAGTTTCACTACTTTCGAATTTTGCTTAAGTTGCCAGGGATTTACGTATTTATTGGACAAACTAATTAGAGGTTTTTAATGGTGCAATGGTCCAATTCAAGCGAAAATTTAAAATTTCAGCAAGAATGATATACTTGGAAACTAAAAACGTCATTAATTGTCATAATTTTCGTATTTTGCTGACACTGTCAGGCAAATAAGTTTGTGCCAAAATGCCTGTTGCATGCATACGGTACGTATTTAACAGGCAGTTTCGCATGATTTGTATTTTTCCACAAAACTGTAAATCGAAAAAAAGCGGTTTTCTCTACTTTTACGTTTTCTCTACCTTCCGTGACACCTACAGTACGAAGGTGTCCCGTTTCTGTCTGTCTGGCCGTCTGTCTGTACGTCTGTCTGCGGTCCCGGATTTTTATGAATTATGATACAGATAATCTACGTCAAATTTTGTATTTATATTAGGAATATCTTGTAATATCAATTCCCGCTTGAATTGGGCCATTGGAACATCGAAAACCATTAGCACACCCAGATACAATCTATCCCATAGAAATTCCTAGTTTTTTAAGCAAAAATAGTATAATCAGCGTGCTTAGAATATTCTTATGAGTAACACAGAGTGTTTTGTTCTTAAAAATCACTTCCTTTTTCATTTAAAATTTTGGGGGAAAATAAATGTCATGCGAAACTTCCTGTTAAATGCGTACCGAACGCATACAACAGGTAGTTTGGCACACACTTTAGTCCCGGTCACTGTTAGCAAAATGCGAAATAAAGACAACTAATAATGCCTTTACTTCCCTAGTATTTTCTATTTGTTAAAGGTTTCAATTTCCGCTTGACTTGGGCTATTGGAACATCTAAAACCACTTTGAATTTCCAGATACAAACAATTGTGTCGAAATGTTTTATTTTTTAAAAAAGTAATTCTAAGGGTGACGTACTTAGAATATTCTTATACGTAACACAAATCCTTTTGTTTGTTTTTTGGATTTACAATTTTGTTGAAACTTACCGCAAACTTTATTAATTATAACATTTTAAATATAAATGCCAAAGTGCCTTTTAAATATAATTAAATTTTGTTTGGCCATCTATCGTCGAAGGGCTGAACTATGCCGTATTTTCCTTATGTGCGAAACTGACTAATTTATGTGTTTGATCTACTACAGTGTTGCCATAGTGTGCCGACCGTGCCAAAGTTCCGGGATTATATACATATATAAGTATATATTTTTATATTATTCGTATATGACATATGACTTACAATCTGTTCCCTGTTTTAGTTGCAGTCGTTGAGAATGTCTGAAAAAAAAAACCGTAGTGGCCTGAGGCAATGTCCTTGAATGATAATTGGTTTGGTTATTTAAGGTTATTTGAAGGGTTGTCTTCCAAAACTTCCTTGAATATTTGAGAAAGTAGGAATGCAGAATTGAATTGTGGGGTACGCGAAGAAAAATGTTGCCTCTCCGGTGGGAATCGAACCGCAACGTTAACTGCTTGCCGGGCGGGTGCCCTTACCACTAGACTACGGAGGAACTTATCTTTCTTCGCTTACCACTACTTATTATTGTGTCGCAACAGAATCATAACCTTTCCATGATCCGTAAAAGCAGTAGATATGTTTTTGTTTTCTCTTCTGTCTTTTTCTAAATGACAAAATCTGTGGATAACTGTTCTTTACAACTAAAGAATCATTCAATACATATTTTTTGTTTTTCGTTATTGATGTTGGAGTTACAACAATGTTGTTACATTTTTTATGTTGTGCATACTATGCTTTGCTATGTCAAACCATTTTTACTCTATTCCGTTGTTGAATATTTTATACCTACACATTTTGTCTGTTATCACGTAGTTCAAAGACTACTGACTGCAGTGACTTCTTATTTTCTTAAATTACATGAAAGGTTTAGTTTTTCTTTTTTTGCAAAAAAAAGTTTTCAATTATTTTTTATTATGTTTATATCTTTTTTACAAAATATGAGTTATTCCATGCTATTTTTGGGCCAGACGATATATAGGCCACATTGTATGTGTTTAACGTGGGCGTAAGATCGAAAAATATCATGTACCAAATTTGACACATGATATTTTCATACACATAAATGTGATTACATTCATACGCGCAGTTTGTTGAAAGCATTACGTGATGTATATGTACAAGTGCCTTACGCTACTTTTATTTTCAACAGGTATAAACGCATGAACAGTCATTCAAATAACGTACTGAAGGTTTATCGTTTATTCTCTGTATATACTCGATTCTTCGTCTCCTAATTTTAACTAAATCCATCTTAACTAAACACTTATGTGTGTATCTAGAAGCATATTTTTTGTACAAAAATATGTCTTTCATTTGTTAAAGTTATATTAAAAACCCAACTCCTATGATTCTTAGGAGTCTGGATTTATAAGTATATACGTAGAAACACAAAAAAAAAAATATATTAATAAGGCTAAAATAGTTATAACATTTTGTATTCAGTGGGAAGCGATAATTCCTGCTTCTCGGGTCTCTCTCAGTCTGTTGCAATTAGACTCAGAAAATATATACTTTGCGATTACGATAAAAATTCGAGACCTATTCGTGATCACAATCAACCTGTAAATTTGTCAATACAAACAAGGGTTATATATTATGACTACGTAAGTTTTTACTAAGTACAGCGATGAAAATATAATACTTAATAAATATTTTAGAATACGTTCGACAACAGTTTCACTGCCGACAGCTGGATGGGATTGGTAAGACAGTAAATGAATAAGCATGGGTAAACAGTTGGGTGCCATATTAATTTGTCTTAATCGATCATATCACACAAATGTGTTTTCAACTTTCAGTACAATAGTTTAAATATTTTGAAATATTTTTTGTAGCAATGGATTGACGAACATCTTGCGTGGAATCCCGCTGATTACGAATCCATAAAAAGTGTTCATTTGTCGAGTAATAACATATGGGTGCCAGATTTTTCAATTTACAATAAGTAAGTAAAACACCTATTCTTTTTTTTTACTCTATAAATTCGACAGAGTCAATCCATTTTCGATTCTATTCTTAAAACATGAATCGAACCCAAATTTTTATTTGTACTCGATTCCAAGCTTTTGCTTGGACCGAATTTTGTTTTGCTCATTGTGTATGCTATCTTTTTTTCAGGAAAAATGGAAACGGTGAGCAATCAGTTATTCGAAATTCTCACTGCACTGTAAAAATTGACGGAGAAGTGCGCTGTGTAGTATCAACAAGCTACACGACGGTATGCATTTCTGACTACACGAACTTTCCTTATGATGAGCACAACTGCACTGTCCGTTTTGGTTCCTGGACTCATACTGGTGAAGAGTTAAATTTGGAAATTGACGTAATTACAGAAGATTTGGTCCCCAACGGGGAATGGAAGTTAATTAATACGAGTGCCTACAAGCATCCAGGAGTTTACGAGTGTTGCCCCAATAATACATACCCGTCCGTTGATTTAAGTTTTAAGATCCAAAGACTATCCGGTTCTCATACTGCCAGCGTGGTTTTTTCTGCTATTGGTGAAATAATAATACGTTTGTTTAATTTTTGTCCAATTATTTATTTCAGTTTTGATTATTATAACTCTAACATCTTTATGGCTTGCTCCCGATAATCCTCACCGTCTCAATCTTTGTTATATCAACATTATTAGCGAATTCGTCTACTTGGAATATTTATACTGGATGATACCGATGAATAACGATTACAGAATTCCGTTAATATGTAATTTTTACCTTTTACTAAATTTTACCCAGTGCTTGATTCATGTTTTCCAGTGCTCTTTGCCAGGGATTCAGTAGTTTTGTCTGTGTTTACGTTGATTTTCACTTTAGGGTTGGCAAATATGATGAAGAATGAACAACCAGTTCCTGAATTGATATCCAACGTGGTTAGTGTTTTGGTGGCTTTCAGACTTGGACAGTTTGTTTTTTTGAGCAATTGTCTTTTCAAGGTATAAATTTATCTAAACATCGAATTGTTATACACAAAATTCATTTTTCAGGGTTACGAAGAGTACGAACATTATATTACAGCTGTTCACAAAAAAGACGCTACTTGGTCGAAGACACAATGGTTAATATTTTCTAAAATTTTAAACAGATTGTGTATTGGCATTTTCGTCCTTATATACTTGTGCATGTTCATAGCGTTTAATCCATAAAAAATAACATTTGATTTTAAAAAGATTTATTTGCAAAAAGTAGCCCGTCACACTAATTCTCTTCAAAATAATTTGTACAACGTATTAAAAATTAACAAACCAAACTTACATAATTATTTTGATTTATGTTGTGACCAGAATATTTATTTTAGTAACATATTTCCTACAACTGTAAACTAAATGGAATACAATAAAATGCGAATAGTGTTAAAAATTTTAACTTTGGCACAGGTATGGTGTTATTAACTATCGTTTTTCTTTGTGTATTATTGTTCTAAATATTATTTAAACTGTTTTGCACTTGTGAAGAATAAAAATACCTGGTGACTATTCATGCGTTTTTGAAGTTCAAAAGTATCAGTAAAAGTGTTGCTGGCCAGTTTTGGCGAAAACTCAAAAGTGTACAAGCGTTCTATTTATAAAGTCTATGTTAAACTCTACCCGAGTTACACAAGCAAGAAGTTGACAATACTGACATAAGACGTATTTTACTAATTTTTGGCTGAACCACACGATAAAATACTTTGCGACAAACAGAAGAAAGTGCTCTACATTTTTACGTGTTGGAGATTGTTTTAATTCTTAGGGTCTCAGGTGTTTGGTGTCATACAGAATTAATTAGCCATGTTGAGGGCAAAGGCGGAAAATTTATTTGGGTTCATTAAGTTCTGCAAATATTTATACTTATGAAAATTGTGTAATTATCATCCGTAAATAATAAACAATTCTTCTGATATATATTTTTTGTACAAAAAAAAAGTGTGTTCTCTGGATTTCCTATAATATTAATTTGGCAGTTCTAATAACAAAAGGCACGTTAGTTTCTGAGAAAATCAGACGTAAATTTGTACCCTTCTAACCTTATCTCAGGAAACTTTGGGTAGAGAACAAAAAAGCGACTAGATGTAGGAAAATGAAACTTAAATATCTAAATATCTCGGACCGTTTCTTAATTCAAAAATAAAATTAATTTATTCCGTGAATTACAAGTAAAAAAATTGATCGAAGGTTATTTTGACAGAACTTGCAAATTGCAAAATGTCGTTATACGATTTTTTTCTCCCAAAATTTGGATGTTTAGGCTAAAATCTCAAGACGGATTCATAAAGCAGTGGAAGAATATGTTATTTTATAAAATTTAAATAGCATTTACCATTGTAAAAGTTGGAGCTGACGTCATATGTTGGTGGGGATGTTCAGACAAATTTTGCTCAGTGTTTTACCATCTACCTACACGATGTTCCTAGTAAAATCTGACAACAATCGGTTTACTAGTTTTGAAGGTTATTTGTCTAATAAAAATTCGGAGAGACGGCAGACAGACAGACGGAGACGGACGACCTATTTTTTTCGTATTATAGGGGTTATGTAAAGTCGAGAAAACATGAAAGTATCCAGTTGTCGATTACAATGCTTCCTTAACTTACCCTCAGAAAGTAAAAAGGTGTAGATAAAAGGATTCGCAACAATAGCCTACACTTGATTTAAGTGGCAAAATAGAATGACACAAGTGACAAACGTAATGGGGATTTGAACGTTGACCTGAGTATGCACTATAGTGTGAACCTAAATTTTTACCACACTGAATTCTCGATAAACCCATCTGAGTATAGCCTGTAATATATGAATTAAGCAACCAACGTTACTTAAAAAATACAGACTTGATTTTGTAGAACAAAAAATTCCAAAGTAGTGCAGTGAAGACGTTGGGTTTTTTCGGGATAGCATAGTTAAGATTTTCAACTTCTTTTCTTCAATTAAAGCACAAGTTGTTCTATTTCTTTAAGTATTTATATACCTGATACCAGTGGCGGCTGGTGGGTCAAAATTTCGGGTCGGCCAAATATTTTGAGTCTACACCTTGGTGTTATATATTTTCGTAATGTATGGCTGCTACTCATTAACCACTAACATTTTACGTGTCAGGATGTACAAAACATCTCAAATGTTTCGACCTGTTAAAATAATTTTTTATAGGAAATTGACAATGTCAGTTTGATTCCAAATACTATTAATCCTTAATTCTACTTGTTCTGCTTTATCATTAATTGAGAACCACCACCGAAAACATTATTTTTACTGAGTTCCGCGTCGACCGGCGGCTATACGGCTTGCCGACCCCGGACATCCACAATTAAATAATAATAATTAAATAATGACATGCAGTTAAAAAATATAAAAAAAGTAATAATAAAAGTACCAACTGTTAACTATCTTCATTTACATTTATTTATTTTTAATGTATATGACAAATTGTGAAATAAATTAATTGAATAATTGAAAAATTAAAATGATTTAAAACTTTAAATTCGTTTCTGAAATATCTGAAAACGCTTAGATGCTAAAAATACAGAAAAAGCGCATTTATGTTGTAGCTAAGTTATGTACGAAAAATAAAATTTTAGATAATTTAATGTAATTTTTTTCGTTTATTATTCATACACAGAAAAATGTATTAAATCGACAATTATTATTTAAAAAAAAATAGTATGCACTGAAGAACATCGAAGCCGTTATTGTTTTGTAATTTGGTTAGCTATCTTAAATATTAAGCGTTTTAAAAACTAAATTCGCGTTGCTGGGTACGGCGAAGGAGGATTTCGCCGGACCTGGCACAACATACGTTCCGCCAGGTCTTTGTCTACTACAGTGTACTAGACAAAGAGAACGATGAAACCGTAAGCTGCTACGAAGTCGAAACATCGAGCATAATGCATTCCTGGGTACGGCTTGCCGAAATCTCGCCGGCAAAGCGTGTTTATCAGCATTTAAAATTAGCAACAAATGCTTTATTTTGTACCTACAATATAATAAAATATATTTTTAATATATATGATCTATCCTAACGTACATTCAAACTTTATTTCTTTTTTTATTTTCTAATTTCAACGCTTACTAAGTATTTTAAAATGACTGGTACGGCGTGGCCGACCCTGCCGCCCCTGACCAGCCGCCCCTGCCTGATACATTCAAGTTTTTTTTAATGAAGAAGACTTTCAATAAATTGATGTGTGTTATTTAAAACTGAACGTAGGCATTTAACAAACCCATACTTACCTACTTTTTTATGTTCAAATGTCCCGATATGTTTATTCCTGTTTATTGTCAATCCTAGAGATAGACACACTGCTTTTTCTGCTATTTTAGCAATGTGATTATTTATTGTTGTTTTTAATCTCTGATGTGTCCATCCGGGATCGATTTTTTTTAAGTACATAAAAAACAAATAGTTTTGTTTATGTTTAAAAATAATTCACTATTGATCAAGCATTTGTTGTGTCAAGGGCAAAAAGCGCCTGCAACCGTTTTCGGTCCATGCTTTTTTTGTACGTATAGAATCAGACATTTAATTATTACATTAAAAAGATAATAATAATTGACGACAAAAATCTGATGTGAGATCGTTTCTTCAACTGTAAAATTAAGTTGAAATTATCAGGTGATAAAAAAATGTACATTCTGTTACCGTCACATACTTTTACAAAGCTTACATTTATTTATCTCACTATTACAAAATATAAGACTTGGTTCAAAATATTTTACCATATACAAATTAATATGGGGTGGAAGAATCGTGTTAACGATTTGAAGATAAATCTGTTATTTATCTATTTAGGACAGGGGCGTATAATATATAAATATCATATGTCAAAATTCTGTCCATATTCAGTGTGTGTAAGACATTATTTCGTGATGCTTGTGCAAGTTTTGCTTACTTTACTTTTACTTTCGACAGGTATTTTTTTTATTTAATCCTAAATTTCTCTATTTCATTGTGCCTAAGCAAAACTTAAACCTGACATTTTTCAGTTTAAATAACAAATTTGTCTTAAATTTGTGATGTTTGTTTGGCTTTGAACTTATATATTGTAAAAATCTTTCGCGAAATTTTTATTCGTCTATGTCAGAAAATGCATGTTATGTTGCACTCAACGTTGTCGCTGTAATAATATAATATAAATATAATTTAATAACAGCAACAGCGTTGCGAACTCTGCATTAGTGTGATAGATCTTTTGGCCGTTTTGCATTTTCTAAAAACAATTTATGTACAAAACTTTATTCACTACAACCGTGTGCAGTGTATTCGAATCATTATTCAACGGATTTTCTTCTCTTCAGCAAAAACTGACGATGACTGCCGTTCTGATAAATCCAAATTAGCCCCTGTGAGGCTCAGAAAACGTTTGTTGTGCGATTACGATAAAGACACAAGACCTATTCGTGATCATACGAAACCGGTGCAGTTGGTAATGCAATTAATGCTCAAATATTACGCATACGTAAGCAGTTTCTATTTTTTTAACATAAGTGTTAACAAATAAATACTTCAGGATATGCACGACAACAGTTTCACCATTGACAGCTGGTTGGCGCTGGTAAGTTAAATTATCATTAGTGTTATTAATATTATTATTAGTTATTACTACCTACGACCCACCACTCATTTCGAAAAAACCGATATTCAAGCAGAAATTTTATCGTTTGGGATTCGAAAACCGACTACCTAATGAATAATGATAGGTATACTTACAGTTTAAAGATTCAAGATAAATAATATTACTATTATTGTAATGTAAGTTATTCAATAAATGTAAAGGCATTTATAAACCAACTAGCTTTTCGTCCGAGACTTCGCTCCCGTAGACGATTCGTTGTGTTGAAGAGCATTATTACCAACCATCAAGTAGAAAATTTGTTGAAGGGCATTAACACAATTTCCAGGAAAAATCGACATAAAAATATTTTTGCTCATAAAAACGTTGTCACTCCCTTTCATCTTCTTAGGGCTGGAATCTCGAAACAATCTGAAATTTTTTCTGTGTTTCATTATTTGTGTTGGACACAAAGTTTCACGTAAAAATTTAAATTTACAATCGAAATATTCCTACACAAATCTAGCCACCATGTTTCACCCCCTTAGCGATTGAATCTTGAAAAATGGTTAAATACGTGTTTTATTATTTGTGCTGAAGAGCATTAATACCAAGTTTTAAGTAAACATCACCATAAAAATATTTTTCTCATACAAACTTTGGCACACCCTTTTTTACCTCTCGGAAAATGTTTAAATACGTGTTTCATTATTTGTGTCGAAGAGCATTGATACTAAGTTTCACGTAAAAATTTAAATATATACAATAGAAATATTTTCCCATACAAACTTAACCCCCACATTTCACCCCCTTAGGGGTTGAATTTTAGAAAATGCTTAAAGATTTAATTATTTGTGTTGAAGAACGTTAACACCAAGTTTCACGTAAAAATTTCAATTTATAGTAGAAATATGGTTCCTATACAAACTTGGTCGCTCAAACTTAGACACCACTTTTCATCCCCTTAGGGGTGAATCTCCCAAAATGCTTAAATATGTTTTTCCTTATTTGTATTGAAGAGGATTAAAATGTACCAGCTTTCACGTAACGATGTAAATTTTATAGTAGACATTGGTCCTATACAAATTTTATCACCCCTTTTCACCCCCTTAGGGGATGAATTTCGAGAAATTCGTTCTTAAACGATGCCTCCAGTATAAAATGAACATTCTCTCCAAATTTTCTAGCATTAGCGGTTTGGGCTGGGCGTTGATAGGTCAGTCGGGACATTGCCTTTTTAAGTTAAATGGGCGGTTAGTATGCCTGTAAGGTTTGGAATAAATTGCATACCGAATTCAGGAATAAAATTAAAAAAAAAAGGCTCGACATGTTAACAATTTTTACGTTGATTATATTTTAGAATTTATTTTTGGGTCCATGGCATAAAGGTGCAATAAAACATTTCCAGCAAACACTGACCATTATAATAACTTTCTTCTTCGCTTCTTTGCAGCGATGGACCGACGAGCATCTTACATGGAATCCTGATGATTATGAATCTTTGAAACGTATACACTTGTCTCATACTGATATATGGATGCCAGATCTTTCCATTTACAACAGGTATATTTTAAAATAAAAAAAGCGTTACTATTACAGTTAACAATACCACGAGTACGATGAATATCTAATGATAATCCAAGCACAAAAAAAATCATCAGAATTATCACAAATATTCAACAAACACCGTTTTTAGGTCCAGTGGGAGTGTAAGTACATCGGGGTTTACCGAAATTATGTTAAATCTCGATTACAATTGTTGTTAAATTATATGCCTGTAATAATCCCTAAAGTTGCATTCGCACCTAAATAAACAGAAAACTAACTTACCAAATCGTTTTCTCGTAGGAGAACTCAAGGTGGTGATCAATCAGCAATAGATAGTGTTACCTGCATAGTAGCAAACACAGGACAGGTGGTTTGCGTGCCATCAACAAGTCATTCAACAATATGTACATCCGATTTAACAAAATTTCCTTTTGATACTCACAACTGTACTGTACGTTTTGGCTCGTGGGTTCATAGTGGAGAAGAATTAGACCTACAAATTTCTAAAGATGCCTTAAATACAGACGATTTAATTTATAACGGAGAGTGGGATCTAATCGACACTAACGTCTTCAAGCATCCAGGAATTTACAAATGTTGCCCCAATAACACCTATCCCTCCATCAATTACAGTTTCAAGATTCAGAGAATATCGGGTGCTCACACCGCAAGTGTGATTCTACCTGCATTTGGTATAACAACAGCAATGTCTTGGTTCTTTTCAATTATTATTTCTTTCAGCTTTGGTCATCATCACGTTAGTATCTTTGTGGGTTGCCCCCAACAATCCTCAGCGCTTGAATTTATGTTACGTCAACATTATTAGCGAGTTTCTGTACATACAGTACGTGTCTTGGTTGATTCCCATGAATGGTGATCGAGTTCCACTAATACGTAACTTAGTTTATAAAGATTTTCACCTGTGAACTTAATGTCTTTGTTTTCAGTGCTGTTTGCTAGAGACTCGTTATTATTGTCAGCCTTCACAATAATGTTTAGTTTAGTTTTGGCAAGTATGGTAGAAAATAAGAAAACAACGCCCGCATGGATTTCAAGGGTTGTTTCTGTTTTGATAGCTTTCAAACCGGGACAGGTTGTGCTTCTAGGAGATTCTTCGTTCAAGGTATAAGTTTATATTTCTATAAACTTCATCTATCGCTCAAATACGGGTCATTTTTTAGGGTCTGGACAATGAACACGGTGATGACGATGTTACAGCGATAATTAATAACAAAGATACTACTACCTCTTTGAACACGGAATGGTTGATGTTTGCTAAAATTTTAGATCGATTGTGTTTTCTTATCTACGTTATTGTGTATCTGTGCATGTTTATAGCATTCATTCCATGAAGTATCTTTAGGTGTGTAGTATTACAAAAGACGTATTTGCTAAGGTGACATATATAATTAGAAATTTTCTCAAATTAATTCATGATTTACAATTACTAACATTCATAATAAAAAACTGTTATCATTAATTTAGTAAGATTGTTTTCCACTACTCCACCATAAAAAATACGCTGGCAGCTCTTTTGAATATAATTGCAGCCATTAATGATTATAACTATACTGAATCAAGAAGTTTGCGTGAGAATAATCATATTAACGAATTATACTTATTAAAAAAATCGTCAAAAATTATTTCGACAGCACTTCCTTCGTTCTTGAAGTACCTATTGTCTAATTGCTGCGGGAGCGCAAATTTGAAAGGAGCGCGGTCGGGAACAGGCAGTCAGTTAATGAAAGATTAGAGTCTAGTCAAATCCACAGTCAAGTCAAAATTATTCGCTGTTATATTTTCGCTGTGTAACTATACTAATTAGTCGTATCAATTTGTGTTCCTGAGGAATAAATTGTTGAATTTTCCCCGCGCCGATTGTAAATTACCAATCAACGTTAACACTAGTGTGAGATTCAAGATTAATAATTGGTTTTACGAAGATCTACGGGCAGATTGGTCGCTGATGACACTAGAGCTAAAGCTGCGAAAATAGAGGAACAACTAAAGCAGATCATGGCTATTCTCACACAGAGAAATGGACGCCAAGAGATGAGAAAATAAAAAACTTAAAGAGCTTTTCCTAATGCACAACAGCATTGAGCTAGTCGATACGAATGTCTGAAAAAACTAGTCTAGAGGCAGATCCGAAGTTTAGATGAGGAAACAGAAAAATTAATACAAAACAGAAATGCGCAAAAATGTAGCACCTCTTATAACTGAAATGTCTTAGGAACTAGAAAGTCCAGCAAGAATATTTGGTTTCATATATGAGGTAGTGAGGTACTAACAATTGAACATAATCGACTAATTCGTTAATACTGACTAGAATCGCCTAAAAATAACATATAGTACACGTAGTACACTAATAATAACTATTAACATTATGATTTTAAGAAAGTGGCAGAATTTTGAAACAAAACAGTGGTATGTAGTGTAAAATATTACAGATATACAGAAAAGAACTTATGAAAGTAAACTTTCAAGTATCTCGAAAAATACTCACGCAGAATTTAATCATGCCGCAGGGAAAATACATTAGTGCTAAAATTAGCTCCCCTCCCCCTCTCCTTGTAGGTGGGGCAGGGGTTAACTTCGAAACCTTAAATGAGAACTGCTATTTTTTATTGCAGATGCGGGGTCTACGGCTAAAACTACGTATGATTTGTTTGAAACATTTTTTTCGATTCGTGATAGATGGCGCTGAATTGACGAATTTCAAATTTTTCCAATTTGTCCTCCTGCGAACCTATGCATATAATTCTACAATACGTTGACAATAAAAAATACCACGTTTTATGTAAATACTTGAAATTTGTCGTCAAAAGTTTATTCATGTTGCAAATTTCGAATAACTTGGAAATTGTGTAAATGTTTAATGGCTGGCGAATAATCTACTTTTAGCGTAACCCAAGAACAACGATTTGATTTCTGTTCCCTTCGGAATGCTTTAGTCCACTCGCCTTTCACCTATCAGGCTGCTTCATTTATGTGAGTCTCTTCGCCTCTCTTTCAATTAAAGTAAGTGATCAAAATGATCCCCCCGAATTCAATGGATATTGAATATACACTGTATAGACATGTATTGTGTCTGCTTGAATTTCGGCACAAGCATTTCTGATTCGCTGGAAAAGAAATCTGGCGAACTAAGATCTGGTGATCTGGGAGCCCAATTTACCGAACCAGCTCTACCGATCCAGTGACCATTGAAATCATGATCAAGTACTTCAAGTGCTACCAGCGAATGGTATGCTGGATAACCTTAATATTGAAATCATGGTACAAAAAGAACGGTTGAATCCACATGTTCTGTCGCATTTCTAACCTCAAGTTTTCAAGTAATGTTGGCAGTTCATTTTTCAAAATGTCTCGGTACGTTTCACCATTCAAGTTGCCTTTAATAATGTGGCAACTCATTTTGATTATTTACAATAAAAACCTGGTATTTTTTACTGCAGAATTGTATGCATAGGTTTTCAGAAGGAGAAAAAAAAAATGAATTTCGTGTATCTGCCATGAATATAAAACAAATGTTTTAGACAAACCCATAGTACTTTTAGCCCTAGAATTCGTATCTGTAATAAAAATTCGGAGTTCCTATTTAAGATTTCAAAGCTACCCCTCTCTCTACCTACAAGGAGGGGGGAGAGGGACTAGTTTTTTGCACCAAAGTATTTCCCCCATGTAATGATTAAATTTTGAATCTGGACATTTTTGTGTAGAGTGCTCCGTAGTTGGTACCATTGATTTGAAAACGATAAACAGGCCTTGACAAAATAGTGAAATCACTTTGGTGTCCGTTTAGTGGGATCGACAAAAACATATTTAAGATTGACATCACGTAATTCTTAATCCTGTCGTTTACTTGTCCCCATTTTTTTTTACTTAATTCCAAATGTTTACGTAGATATTATACTGTTTGGCTGCTTAGTTCTAAAGTTTACATGTTATTAGTGAATTCGAAGATTAGAAAACAAATTAGAGTTGCTACAGACCGTAAATGTTCTAACTACAAACATCTCACGGGGAAACTTGGGTAACGCTACCCAAAAAATTTGTACTGATTATGAAAGACATTTATTTTTTTGACAACAGATGTAACAGTTTTGTACAACATTTATCAAAAAAATAGATAAGTAATAACAAAAAGATTTTAGTTTATTCATTTTTATTAAGCAACTTTACATTAAAGCCCCTCGTAGTCTGTACAATAGGTAATCTTCTCAAATGTTTAAAAAAAAACCAATAATAATTTGCACAACAATTACAATATCACAACTAAAAAACGAAGTGACATGTTTACGCAAGAAGTAATGTTTTCAAAACCACCAATTTAAATTACATAATTAAATTAGTGCTAGAAAATATGTATCATACGTATTGATATTTTTTCTTGCACGTGTTTAATTATATAAAATAGTGTTTTTTTATTGGAGGTTCTCACAGCTAATGTTGAAGACTAATCGGTGATCACGTAACTTACGTATACAAAAATGTAATGAATGAAGAGTTTGGAATCGCGAAACCACATACAAGGCTCTTTGCAAATCGTTTTGTAATAAACTTTATACATTTTATTTTGTCATGGCTTATTTACAGAATATTACAAGATGTACAGACTCCAATGTTTAAGTAAAAAAAGACAGTGTTTAATTATACAAATATTCCAATAAAACTGGAATGGAACAAATAATATAATAGTAAAAATAAAAAGTTATATCTAACCTTATTAAATTTTATAATAATAAAGAAGACAGTTTTACATTAAAAAATACACAGTACTTTTCTAATAGGTCAAATATCAGTCTACTACAAAGTATCAACTAATTATGACTTTAAAAGACATTGGCATGTCTTTACACTATTTACAATGAATAAAATAATAATGTACAATACGTTTGCATTGCAAAACAGCTGTGGGTCTAGAAATAAAGTCATTAGGTTACATCAGCAGTGCACACTATATAACAAGACACAACTATGGAATGCTTTAGTCACTACGACACGGTTCAAGTTCGGGCACTCACTTGGTCGGATAAGGGTTAATTACTGTCACTGCTGCTGCTTGCTGGCTTGCTAACACTGCGGCTGAAATTTTAATCGAATTAGTCCTACTCGACGGACGACAAATCACAACAATTAAATCTCGGCTCGACCCAGAAAAACATACTCCACAAACAAGTCACAAATTTTACTCATATCCCTTTAAGGTTCACTCATTTAGAATCAGCATGTACAACATAAATGTAATGTATTATACACCTATGACAGCCTCGGCAACGATAAAATTCGTACTTCTGTTTCAGTAAAGACGAGCTTCGCTCGTTTTAAAGATCTGTTATTGACATTAAATGTCTTGAATCTAAATTTAGTTAGAAAACTTCAATCTTACGTAATATAACAAAATACCAAAAAAGAGTCTCATATATTTCGATACATACATACGGAAACTTATAAATACTACAAAAATTAAATAAAGAAAGATCCATTATGAATAGTTTTAAAAAATAGTAACAATAACAAACATACAGTGTATTAGTAATAAAATTTTTCAAATAAATTCATTTTTACAATCGGATGCGGCTATTGAAGTATTATGTGCCAATTAGTGCTGGTTGAAAAACTGTAAGTGTAAAGGGTGCTTCTGAAACTAATATAGGTATATCTTATATACATATATATTGCACATATTTACTTGTAGTGCTTTTTGGGGCCATTCGGTTCATGCTAAAGGAATGTCACTTTTTGTCAAAGGAAGTATGTGTGAGAATTTGTCACTGGACTGGCGTATAGAGATGATTGCCGTCATTGTTTTAGAGACTTTGCTGTTCTTACTGTTCCAAGTGTGTACGTCTTTTATTTATTCACGAATATCTTGATGATTACAGCCGGAATAAATATAGTTATACCACTAGATAAAAACATATAATAAAACATAATTTTTACGACACCGCAGATCTAGAAATGGCACTGCTTATTACTGTGCAAGATTTTATGATGTATTTCCAAATTCAATTAAAAGTGATGGCTTTATTCAGTTTAAAACATCTGTTAAAAATATTAGCAACAGACAATGCATTTTATTCTTTCAAAGTAAATTGTTATAAATTTTAACTTAATCAAATATTTTTATTATTATTTGTAGTCAAATCTTTCAGAGACAAGCCGAGATTCTCCTCTAGTTGTAAAAATTGTACTCACCTCCATATGGGGGAGGATACATGGGATACCCAAGGCCTACGTGTGTATGATGATGCGTATGTACGTGGCGTTGCGGAGGTGGCGACCTCGAGTCTTTGTTGTCCCCCGGCGTCTGTTTGCCGCCAGAGGGCGTCGTGTTTGTCACCTGAGACGTCGGAGGTTGCGTCATCTGCGGTTGGGACGTCATAACCGGCTGTCCGCTGTTCGTCGAGGGACTCGAACTGGCCACTGACGTCTTGGGGGTGGGCGACTTGATCGCCCGCTCTTGCAACTCGTGTATTTTGTGAGACGAATAGTACTGAGCGTGGTGCTGAAGCATGTCGAGGGCCTTTGGCGGCGGCGGCGCTCTGGACAAGTCTTCAGGGGCATGGTATCTCGGGATCTGGGCGTGGAGGTACGGGTTACCGCTGTAAGGCCCCGGAACCATAATGCCCCTGTACATGGGGTGGTTGGGATCGAAGGGTAAGGCGCCGTAGTGGGCCGACTGCATGTAGCTGGGATGGATGTAAGCGTACTGGGAGGTAGGGGGCGGCGGAGGGCCTTGGGTCTCCATCGTGGGCTTCACGCCCTCCTGCTTGATGTCCTTCTCCTTCTTTTCCTCGGGTTTGGCATCTTTATGTTTGAGGTTGGGACTAGGCGGAGGTGGGGCCTTGTTGGGGGTGGTACTTTTGTGCTCCATTGATTGTTGCTCTTTGCGTCTTTGATCGTATACGTAGAACCGGCGCACTTCTTCTTCTCTTTGATTGTGGTGGGTTTGCTGCTGTTGCTGCTGACGCGAATACATGTAGGGGTTCATTTGGTTCTTGATTTCGATGCTCTCTTTGAGTATTTGATGATTCTCGTTTTGATGTTTCTCCTTGATTGGAGGTTCTGTTTTCACCTTGCCGGGGGTGGGGACTTGGATGGGATTCGGGATAGGCGCCGGCGGTTTAATCGGCTGATCAATGATCGGACTAGGACTCTCTTTTATCCTTTCTTCTTTGATTTTGTCTTCTTGAACCATGGGTACTCCTCCGAAATTAGGATCCATGTTGTATGGGTACCCTGGCATATAACCATACGGGTAATAATGTTGCTGAGGTAAAATTTTTTGAGGGTATTCGGATCCTTCTTTCTTACCGTCTTTATCTACCGGCTTTTCTGTCGCTTTGTCACTTTCCTTCTTCCCCTCTTGCCCTTGCTGTTGTTGCACGGAGGGAACCAGATACTGCGGTTGTCCGTAGAAGGGATACATACCGTACTGGGGCATGTGGGGCAGCGACTGCCCCGATTCAGTCTTCTTGTCGGCATTTTTACTCTTATCCCCCATGTCGGACTCCATCACGGGAGCCCCATCGTCGGAGATGTCCGAGTAGGCGGGACTCTGCACCTCGTCCCTGGCAGTTTGTTCGACCCCGAACACCGGCTGTTCGGTTTGGGGCGGATGGGGGCTTCCCGCTGGCGATTTCCGGTTCTTCTTCTTGAAGTTCTGGGGTTTATTACTGCTGGAATTTCCGTTTTGTTGCGGCTGCGGTTGCTGCTTATTTTTGTCTTCAGGCATAAGTGCGGCAGTGGGCTTGACTTTGAACTGGGTGATCTTTGCCGCCTGCTGGCCGGGCGACGGTGGCGCGTGCGGCGACATCTGCGAAGAGATCTGGGAGTTGCTTTGCAGATTTTGCGGAGGAATTATAAGAGTCGGAGGCTGGGTGAATTGCTGCGACGGCATGTTCACCTGAGATTGCAACTGATTCGTGAAAGACTGCGGTTGAGCATTTGATTCAGTCTGGGAGCTTGGCTGGTCGGAAGGTAGCGACACAGAAACATTTCTGACTGTCGGTAGAGGACCTGAATTTGACATTGGTGTTCCTGCAACGATACCTGCGTTAACAACGTACTAAGCGAGTTCCTGGTGGATGACTAATGATTGCGTGAGGACGTGTAGACGCGTTTATGCTTATTCGGTTTTCGACGAAATAGCGGGAGTCCTATTATGTCCGTTGCTGTTGTCTTTTATATGCAAATGTACGGTCTTTCGTCGTGTGCATGTAAACATGTTCGCCTAAAAATTACACAAGTGAGAAGTTAAATAAAACACGGCCGTTGTATTTTGCAAGCTTTCAGCGTAATTTGAAACGCGGAAATCAACATGGGCGTCATCTGCTAGCGAGAACATTAAGCAGATTAACTAAATTGCAAGAAAAGAAACAATAAAAGCAGACAAATTACGTTCTTGCTTTGCACTTCCTCAAAGTTTCTGTTCTGAATAGGAGCTTCCTTATGAACAATGACATTATTAAGGAACATTACGTAAGTTGAAACCCGCATTAAGGAAGCAGTAATATAAAATGAGGCGTCGAGACAAGAATGGTACACAAATGAAAATAAAATGAACATTCTTTACGCGCTACTAAAATGCATCCAAACATGTTGGCAATCGGTAGTTCAAACCGAATTTGCAAGTCTGACGTCTGCACTCTGCCACAGCGTAAAAATAATACACATCTCAACAACCTACTTTTACGTTTTTTACATTTATAGTTTACAGTGTTACTAATGTTTTAAAACGGCTGATAAGGCTCTTTCAGAAAATTCTTCATAAATGGGAAATTCAGACGCTTTGAACTTATCGTCGTTAAAAGTAGTTGATACACTAAGTATGATTTGATGTGGATTTGAAGATTCACTTGGTGTATAAGTCATGTAAACCTTAATTGTTACCACATAATAAATTGTGGCTACACCCAAGTCCCTGGGTGTATATGATACATACAAATCTGAAAATTTTAGGCAAATGACATTTTTTTGTTACTTTTAGGTTAGCCTATTGCTGCGGGTGCAGTTTGTTGCCACGTTTTGTCTGCAACTTTACAGTGAATCAGTGATTGTGTTTATTGGTAGGGTGACAGTTAACCCCAGGTCCCGTGTGGTGTCGTAGTCGTTTAAAATCACAGCCACAAGTACTAAAGAAACAGGGCGCACTAGTGTAAAGTCGTAGAGTCCTCTAATGAACATTGACTTTCTATTTCCAAAAATATTTACTGCAAGCCCCCAACAAACTGCTCACGATTATAATAGTGACGATTTACAACGCTTGCCTATTTTTAAACTACTTTGTTCATACACGTCTGATTCATAGAACCTCTGTTTCTTCCGAGCAAGCTATTGGGGGGGGGGGGGGGGTCCAAGGCTGTACATTATCGTTACTATAACCCCAAGCAGTTTATTGGTGCCTTCAAAAACCGAAAAGTTAATGTCCACTATTTGATGGACTCTACTTATATAGTAGTTAAGTTATGCTGTATGTGTCCGTTTACGTCGGCAACTCGCGACGGCGGTGATGGTCATGAGTGACAAGGCAGTCCAAAAGGCCCAGAACCTACCTGTCACTTGCTGCTTGTTGGCGGCGAAGACCCCGACCGGGTACTCCTCCGGCGGCGTGTATCGCAGCACTCCCGGCTTGACGACGTTCTTGGGCTCGACCAGAGGTACCGTGGGCGAGCCCGCCCCAGCCCCCAGGTCGCTCTGCGGCGTAGCCGGCGAGGGCGGCGTGCTCCTCGGTGTCGCCGGCTGACTAGGCACCTCTAGTAGTCCGGCGCCCCTCAGAATCAGTGGCAGCTCCGGCTCCTTCTTCTGCGGCGTCAGCGGGCTATCTTGACTCTTATCAGGCGACTTGACCGGCGTGGCCGGGCTGGGTGCCTCGATGTTGGATTCATCGTTCTCCGACATGGAGGTGACGTCCTTGGTGTCGTCGTCGTCGACGGAGCCGTGCGCGTGCGACTGGTGGTACTTCAGCCCGTTGATATGTTTGTACTTCTTGGAACAGTTGGGCTCGGGGCACTCGAGTAGCACGGGTGAGGGTGGCGGGCTGCCGCAGGGCGTGGGCGTGCTGGGCACGGGCGGCGTCGGTGGCGGTACGACGATCTTCGTCTTCTTGCCCTGCACGCCGGGCGAGGGGGACTCGTCCTCGCCGGCGCGGCTCTTTCGCTTGCCGCTGGTGTCGGGACGGGGAGGCACGAAGGGAGTGGGGGACGAGGGAGCGGTGGAAGGACCTGAACCGTTCGCAGCCCCGCGACGCCCCTTTACGCCACCGTTCCGCAACTTACTGTGCACGGATGAGCGGGTCTCTGTGAAGTTGCTTAGATCAGTGCTTGGTGTTGCAGCGCCAGCAGAACGTCCTCTCTTACCTCGTCCTTTTGGAGTACGATTGTCCAGGTCACTTGTGGGAGAATCACAGAATCTGCGAAAAAAAACGAAAATCAAATTGCAAATGCAACTTAACAGAGAAAGTAGTGTGGTTAATCCGGCATAAAAAATAAGGAGCCATACATTTTGGGTGGCTTGCGATTTTTTTGGGCGTTTAGTGGGGGAGCTGACTTTTCGGGACTAAAGGTGTTGTCATTCGGCCACCATCTTGAAAATGAGGCTGCAATATTTTTTTTCATTTATGTAACTCTGTAATCGTGAATCGCAACAAAAATTTTGTCAAGAGGATTTCTGTAGATACCTTAATACAATTACCTAATAACTTTTAATATATTAATAATAAAAACGTTATGACCAAAAAAAAATAAAACTAATAGCATTTCATAATCATAACAACAATAATACTAATGGCTTTTATTTTCTGCATATGTTCTCACTCATTAGAGGAAATAGAAAATAACTAATCTATCCATACATAATATACAAAGAACATATACTAAAAAAAAAAGAAAATCCTACCATTTTAATTAATACAACTTTATAACTTTACTATATTCCAAAAACCGAGGTAACCTATAAACTACTTCTTTCAAAATTTAAAGTGCACAAATATGATATTCCTTTAACTGCATCACCATGTAGATTTGACTAACGTACTAGTCCTACAGGTGTTATAATAAAAGCAAGTTCAGTATCGAGTGCTAAAACTTGTAACGAAGTATGAATTTTCCTTATTGATGTTGAGCAAAATGTTAAACAAAAAGTAGGCTACTTATGCGTAATGAATTAATGTTAAGTCGTCACACAGGTCTCTTTCAGGGTAGATCCTATGTATTTTTTTTTTATTTAATATAAAACAAAGAACTTTAGGTAGTGGGTGATGTGCAGATTATCAAGAGGTAACTAAAACTTTTACCAATGTTCTAACTACGTCGTTTATATGTTACACAAACATACGTCTTCGCTGAATCGTATCGTAAACGAGTAATCGGAATTTTTTTTTTGCTTAGAGAAGGTCGTGATGAATGTATCAGTTAGGTTTGTTTAAAATTAGTTGGTCTGTTTGATACTAAAGATATAAAATGTTAGTATCCTCTGGAAGAGTTAGACAGTCGTCTACTGAGGAAATCTTCATATTATCCGCGAACAGCAGTTTTTCACATGAAATATTGGCTAGTAAAATATGAACAAATAACAAAAACAACAAGACCGAGATTCGACATCTATGGAAACCCAGATGTAGGAAAGAATAATAATTGGGACAAACCATACGATATATTATGCAATGGTGACGGTCTCTAAAGTATGACCGAAGCAGGAGCGGCTTGTTCTATGAGGCAGATGAAGCAATGCTTCACCAGTGAATTCGTGGTGTATTAATATTTTTGCTATTTCTAAGTGATACATTTCGGACCAATAAAATGTTTTTTTCGTTATTTTAAAAATTAATGTACAACATTATTGTTATTCTGATCTTAGTAGGTAGGTTCGCTGTACAAAATTTCAATAAAAAAAATGTTGTGAAGTCAGTGCGTGTAATTTATGGCAAATTAAAAATTTTGTTTATTTAATGTAAAGTGAACACAATGGCACAGTGTCTTTTTTCTAGAAACCTTTGCATTAATTTTTTAACAGACTGATATTGTCTTTTATCTTTGGCAAAGTAAGTTCGTTCAGATATTCTCAAAGCTAGGAGCTTGTTGCAAACAGCTTGGTAAATTATGCAAATTTGTATGACCACTTTTTAAGAAAATTTATGGAAAACTTCATACTGATATTTTGCCATCGAAATATCGTAAAAAGAACTGAAATAAATGCTAAACAACAGAAATTAAGGCAAATCTTTTCTGAAACTCTTGATATTATAATTATTAAAGTACAAATTAAATTTTCTGTAAAACGCAAGCACAATATAATTTTTTCGATATTTAGATATATAAATATTACATAAATCGTGTGATTTTTTAAAACATCGTATAATTAAAAAAAAATTGAAATGTCAAAATAAAATTTAAAAAATTTTATGAAAAAAAAAAAAATTGACAAATCTCAAAATATTAAAGCAAACAAATCTATTTTGTACAATCCAATTTAAAAGCCTAAATTCTTCAGTAAATTTTCACGATACAACAACAAATCAAACATAATGAAAAAAAAATACAAGAATTTTAAAAATTTTTGAACTTTTGATAACCATTTTACTTCTTGTCCCAGTACCATTCCTCGTAAATCTCCGGCTCTCTCCGGTTATCTAAGTGAATTTTACTTAATTTAATGCTCCATTTTTTTTTAACTATCGTTTCACTCTCCCAAACTGGTTTGCAACATAACAGTCCATTCCAAAAATAAATATGTCTTCTTTTTGTAATATTAAAGATACATCTACATAAAGATAAATAACTTAAAACTAAAGTTTTTAATTCTCTTTTTTTTTTCAAATTTTTCGCTCCTAACTTTTTTATTAATGTTACGCCGAAAAGTACGTACATAATACATGAGAGTTGTCCACAAAAATGTATTTTAAATTTTGTTGTCAATTTCACGATACGCAGTTAAGAAAATTATTGCATTCTTATTTTCATGATAGCGGCCAAATGACAATATCCCTAGTTCCTAAAACTCAGTTTTACGACTGACCCTCTAACTAAACCCAAAAAGAAATCGCTGCCAATCCAAAAAGCATGTTCTCATGCCGTATTGACTGCACTAGAGTGGCGAGTGGCGAAACACAGTGCGGACAAAGAAACAAAATAAAAAACCAATGGTACATGGGAAACAGCTTATGTATTTAGAGTTGAAATACATAAAATATACATTATAAAAATATATAAAATAATTAACATAAGTACTAACTATATTTTGGTAACAGCAAGAACGCAGGTATTGGTGGCTTTTATTTGAATTTTGGGGAAGAAATTAGACTAGTTCTCACCTAGGGGGCGCCCAGTCGTGGCGGGTGCAGTCCAGTAAGGTTCCTACGTAGGTTTTTCCTCTCCAAGTAACGTTGACTACCAGAACACCTGCACAGAGTATGTTCGTACAATATCTGCTTCAATTTGTTCGCATGTAGTGTATGAACGTGCTCGTAACATTGGAAACTTGTTCTGTTTCTAATATTAACTTAGAACAGTAACCTACATGATACTTTTTTTAATTTTATTGTTCTAATTGTTAAGAGTCACGTTTAGGAGCTTAAATTTCGCACGTGACTGAGCCGGATGTTAAATAAGTTATTCAAATGTCAAAAATTCGAAATTGGTAGGTCACAATAGTATTTCCAATATTTTGCCAAAAAGAAATAACATCTACAATGAGCAACCAGAGGGCTCATTTAGTGAACCTACCATTATTGGAAGACGGGTACTTCCCTTCAGCATTAAAAAAAACATAACAATAATAGTTTAATAACTTTCTTAACCACAAATAAAATTATTGACAAATGAGAACATTTAACAAAATTAGTTACAAGTACCAAAAACCAAGTCAATGGGTCTTTTCAATGAATTTATTATACGCCATTTTTACTAAAGTAAAGTCTTGTAAGATGGATACTAGAGCAAGAGTTTTTTATTCTAATTGTTTCATTGAAAGCAAATGATGGGGACTCGCTCACTAAAGTGCATTTTTTGTAGATCCTTTATCAATAATTGTTTTTTTATACGGGCAATACTTTTGAAGTCATTTGTTTTAATAGAATAGAATAGAATTTTTTATTCGCATTTAACGACAATGGTTTATGCATGGCAAAAAATAGAAAAATAAAAGTATGTTAAGTAAAAATTGCAATACACACAACAAACAAACAATCAGCATTCTAATCAATTGACAAATTAAAATATTTATCTAAGATACAACAAGCATGCTTTTACAGAATCTCTTTTACAGCAGTCACGAGTGCCTTTATGGCAGGCGGAAATTTGTTGTAGAGTTTGGGACCATGGTAATTTACAGCGTTTTCTACAAAAGTCGAAATAGATATTATCTAGTCTTGTACGGTGGCTAGAAGAACAAATAATTGTATAGTGTTTTATGTTGTTTTTCATAAATATAAATGTACATATAATCCTGGAAGCATTGTTATATTATCAAATGAAAATCGTTTTTACACCATCGTAGTATGTCATCAATCCAGTTACAATTCTATCGCCCATGTCAATATAAAGCAATTTATGACACAATAAAATAAGAAGAAGTATGACATTCATTTATTAATTGTTAACAAATAAATAACTACTTTAATTGACATTTCATTGACTCCTCCCACGTGCATTTAGAGTTCACAAAAATCTCTAGAAATTTAGCTATTTTCTGATCTTTTACATTGCGAGTGGTAAATATTAATTTTTGTTTTGCTTTCGTTTAACAGCATTTTAGTACCATTAAACCAATCCAAAGCATTTGATTATACTTCCTCCATGTTAGCTAAGTTGTTTAATTTTGTGCTAGAACTGCACATGATAGTTTCAGCCGAAAAAAGTATTAAATTTTTGTTGTTTAGGTACGCCGGTAGGTCCTTTATTTAGATCTAAAAAATCAGAGGACCCAGTACAGAGCTTTGTGATAATCCATGATTCAAAAATGTCTCATTTGATGCTAAGAAATTCTCATTGGAATGTTTCTTACACTTATTGATTGTATTTACATAAAGTTTACAATATATGTATGTACTTTATCATACATATTTAGAAATACATGACTGCATATGTAACTATTTTATTTCAAATAACAGCAGTTCAACGTTTTGTCCTATACTATGCAATTCTTTACTATACCTAGCAAACTGTGCAATGTTTATTTTTACGTATATGCATAGAAAGTAGGTAACTAATTTGTTCGTTTTGTATTAATTGTATTGTCTTATTAAATGTCAAATGAATAAAAGAAAGTCACTTGGTACTGAGCAATTATTATTAGATAGATATCTTTGAGACTATAAAGGGTATTAAAGCAGAAGCTAATTGGTGAAACGAGTTCTATCCCATCTTGTCATGTATAGTCTGGTTGTTGAAGTTTCTTAAATTACAAGTTGCTACTACTATCATTAAAGTCATTACTGTTATTACAAAGCCACAACAAAGTTATTCGGCTTGTCTTGGATGAAACAACTGTATACGTTCAGCATCAGTTCTAAAACGCTTTTTAATACTAATAAAATCACTACATTTGTATAAACAAAACCGACTTTTCGCGACATCTGCCGCAGAAATCAATTCCAGGTCGCTTCCTTGCCACCGATAAGCAAAAAGTCCCCACGTCAAAATAAACAAACTATACAAATTTCCACCCGATCAAAGTGTACGTAAACACGCTAATGGTCCCAAGTGTTTGAACGTAAACAAAAACAATAAAACTACACGGAACCATAAATCTGTTGAGCATCAGCAGTCTGGTAATGTCTTTTGTTTATCTTATCTCCATAATCAAATAGGGGATCTAAAGCGATTACGCTCGGAAAAGACTACTCACCTCCTTCGGTCTCGTGCCACACGATTCCCTCAAGCGTGACACTTGTACCAGGTTCGCAGGGTCCCAAACAATCCGGTTCGGTGATGGTTCCAACACTGGTGCCTATACACACGTCCGATACCTCCTGCAACAAACGTAGCGTGTCAACATAAAACGAGCATACGTCACGCGGAAGTTGTGTATGGCATTCGAAATGGGATACCGAACATGACAGATGCACGAAGAATATCAAGTCGACGACCTAAATACAGCGATAAAAGGAGAAGAACAAGAAGCAGTGACATGTGTTGGGTGTTTGTTTTGTGGTTATCGGTACAGCTATTTGGAAAAGAAAGGGCGCAGACGGTTGACTTTATGATTATGCGGTTAGATCCTGAAATGACGTCAGATTTTAAGCGAGGATAATGAATTGGATAATGACGCGGTCCCGCACAATGGAAGTTTGTAAGTTGGTGCGCTATCTTAAAACGAAGATAATGAAATTGGAGGGAAGTAAGATTCAAATGCGACGTTATGCATACTTTACAAACCTCTCGAAAATTTCGAATTTTAATAAAGAAAGTAATAAATAAGTATAAGAATATATAACCAAATAAAATTTAAACTAAAATTACTTTACAATATTGCTTGTCATTTTGGACTTTAAAATTTACAGAACTGTGGGACACTATTATGTACATTATTTAATATCAATTATTCAGTTGCATCATTTTTTCGCTACGATTTGGAAATCACGAGCTTGATACAAAATTATGCTTGAATCTGTTATTCTGGTGACCAAATGACATCATGATTCTTTTATTGAACTCGTAAAAAATGTATGTGGTGTTAGCTTTTCATCATTAACGTAGAAGTTCATCAATAGGTTAATGAATTATTGGTTTGTCCTGGTAATATTCTGTGGACAGCTTAATATTGTTGTTAATATAGTAACTTCATTGTGCCTCAAGTTGTGAAAAATATAAAAGTATAAAAGTACAGACTATTTGTTACTAATTACGAGTATTATTAATTAAGGTTTCTTATTTGCTGAACGCTACTGTTGTTAATTTTTCTCATATACCTATTCGTAGACATAAAGATAATTTTATTGTGCAACTGTAAGACAAAACGTCATTTGAATTATGTTATTCATTTTGATTTGTTAACTTTTTAGTCTTCTACATAACGGTTATACGTCGGGTTTTGAAATCGTGAATTCTAGCCAACAGATTCTGATGCCATTACGTGGGAAACCCAAGCGTTTTTAGAATTTTAGTGCAAATAAATAGCTTAAGAGTTGCTAAAATGAAAAAATACCTTCAAAACCCACCGACATGACATAATTAACATTCACATTTCAGAACAATAGCTATACATCCGCGTACTGGGCAATGCAATAAAAATTTTACTGCGATATTATTAATATTAATACCAATATCTTATTAAAACATAAAATATGTAATTACTATATCCATTTTAGGATAGAGGCATTTAACCTTGAAGTACGTACTAACAAGAACTTTTCGCATTACTAACTTCGATCATAAACATGGTGATTTTAAATTTTTTTTGAACAAACAAATACCTTTCATTATTATTCCAGAGAACGAAGACGCAGCAGTGCGACTTTTGACGAATTTTCAAAGCCATTGAACTGCAGCATTAGCATTATTAAACATTTCGAGCCCACAAAGTTGGCTCTCTTCGAGAAAAATTTAATTATCTCTAACAAACGACAGGCAATCGTGTCACGAAATAGTCAACAAAAGAGATAAATTAAAAGCTTCCAGAAAACGGGCGTGTTCTTTAAAATTAAACTCCTAAAAGGAAACTGGAATTTTCACAATTTAATTTGTTTACGATTCGCGCAACAAAAGATTCGAGTGGCAAAGGGAAATGTACAAATTGCATTTCCCAAGCAGGAAAGAATTCTTTAAAAATCACGTAACTTTATTAAGGTCGCCATTCGAAAAGCAGGATCGTTCCGATGCACAATTTAATCATTCACGAGTGAAGAAGCACTTGGAAATACTTTAATCGGCGCAGTAAGTGGGAGGAACGCTAATTCGTTTTTAATGAAGCTAATTTCGTACAATGAAAATCGATCGTGTGCTAATTTCAACAGTTTAAAGTGAAGTATCATCCGTTGTAACAACTGGCGGTTATTTGAGAAGCAATTACCTCGGAGGTTATTTTGCAAATTCTGTTGCAACGTGAACCTCATTATTTCGCGAACTGGATCAAACAAAAAGCTAAAAAAGCGTCGAGTTTCATTAGCACGAAAAGGATTAAATTGAACCGTAATTTTGTTAAAACACCTGATGACAATTACGTGTAATTTGGCGAAGATAACAGACATCTGTAAGCTCATCACGCATCTGACTAATGAAATATTTAATGACACGTTTGGTTTAAAAAATCGACACACATTAGCGAGTTTTCTCGGAACACTGAAAACCGAAAAAAAAACGCTCCTGGCAAACGCGGATCGGCTGAAGTTAATTGAAGCATAAGTGGACATCTAATGCATGCCATGTAGAGGTCAATTCGGTAGGATGTTGAAATGACTCGATAACTGTGGGAGAGTATGGAGACAAATGGGTGGGATCTTAAAGCAAAAATATCCGTTGACGTTTTTGGAAAGGAAATACGAAACGACGGAGTATAAAAGTTATGGGAAATAACACGGGGGCGTGAGAAATTCGATATTATCTACAGTTATCTTATCAGAGTACGCCGACGTTTTGCAGAGACTATAATTTAATGATGGATTATTACGAGCTTCTCTAAAAATGGGTCACGGCAATTTAGTCGGAGATAAAGACGTTTTCGATGATGCATTCCAATCGAAATCAACACAGTGTTATCACAAATTTTCTTATTAACAATAGCGTAGAACCAATCTTTAATTCAATTCTCATTTATTGCTCGTTTTTGTAAAAATAATTAAGGTTGCTTTTTTAAAGTTTGCAGTCCTAATTAATTATTAATGCAGCTGGCGTCCCGATTATATAATTTACTTTAACAATAAAATAATATGATAGGAATGATTTATGTTACAGAGGTATGTCAGACTACAATTATTAGTAAAAAATATAGGTGGTGTGTGCGGAACGATATAAGCCATTTCTGCAAAAGTGGCAATGTGCGAAAAGACAAAAATAAAAAGGTGGAACTTTTTAGCAGCTACACAAAGAGTAAAACTTCAAATAAAATCTTGGGGAATTTTTAAAATAAAACTAAAAATATGTTAAACAATTCACCTCTTTTTTATAACCATGTACATCCATCAACTTTTGCCGCTCATCGTGAGCTGCATTTCCGAACATTTTTTCAAAAACTTTCCTGTGCTTGCAGCGTAGGTGTTTCTTCAAACCAGTTGTATTAGCGTTCTTCATCTTTATGATTTTGGGAATTTTCTTTTCTGCACAAAGAATGCACTTGCCAAATTTTTCAGAATCAGTTGTACTGTACTCAAAGCAGGACGCATATCCACTTTTAACTGGTTTAGAAGCTGCTACATGTGTGTTTTCTCTCACATCATTTTGATAAGACAAAGATTTCATGTTTTTAGTAAATGTCACTCACTGAACAAACTTATCTCTCACAACACTGTGTGAAAACTGACCAAAGTAACAGAAGAATGGTAAAAGATACCGCCTTACATCCCCTTGCTATTATGTACAGAAATATATTTATGACAGGTGCAATAAAATTGATGAAATGCGTTTTTCCCAAAAACTAATAAAAAATCTGGTTTGCACTTGTGCCTGGAATCCTTCGGAATGAACGACACTTGGTGGAAAGATGTTTAGCAAATATTATGAGTCCTAGGTATTAAAAAGAATAGATATTTTGTTCTGCTGTCTAGTCAACATCCTTGAAATACTTTACTATGCAGTGATCTTTCAAAATGTTTTTTAAAAAAACCTGAATACAAGAAATACGTACTCAAAAGCACCATTAGCATTTGATTATGCAATTATTCGAATACTTAGTTTCGAAAATGATTAAAATATTAAGAAAGCGCTTTCTATTTGAGCTCAGCAAGGATACGCAGGAGCTTTTTGTGACCTGAACCCGAAAGTATTGAATATGTTGCAAATTCTACCCGATTATGTCAACTCTAAATTTAGGAATGTTGATTCGAATCGATTTTTCTTATGGGCCTTTTTACCATCTTATTATGGAATACATATAAGACGGTTTGCCAAAAATGTACCTACGTTCCCTTTATTGAACAATATACCGGACACTATTTTTGGCGTACGTTCAAGTCATACGTTGACACAGGGATAAATATTTTGCTTTAAAAGAAGTATAACGACTGAAAATCTAGCATATTTTTGGGGGTATTTATTTTTACTTATTATTAATCAGATTCTTATCCAAAATATTTCTATGCAAAAGACGTGTTAAAATTCATGTTTAAGTTGCAGACGGTGCCCTAAAGTTTCAGATATATTTTTGTAAATAGAAAAAACTAACGGGTCGTGTTTTTACGTGAAACACCCTGTATATCAAGATACTATTTTAAGTAACACAAATCACCGATGTTTTTATCAATATGTACTCCAGGTTTCTATTTTTGTATTTCACGCGTTATACAAATTTAATGCCTTTTTTATTACATAACCCCTACTCAACAGTCTATTTGCCTTTATTAAATTTTTATTGTGACATGAACTCGCAACAAACTCCTGAAAAAATAAGATTACCAACAGTCGGGATCAAAATAACAAAGCAAACACTACAAGAATGTTAACGAGGCAAAAATAAAATAGAGTGAGAAAAAAGTGACTGCACTTTACTCCGTTGGCAATTTCCTGTAAAAAGTACTTTGTAACGACAGCACAAATTAATGCAACGAATAAAATAGGTCACGTACGACCTGGTCACATTACGGTGGAATCGATAACATGGCGCAGGATATTTCCAAACACATCACATACAATGCATTTATATATGTATTTACATTCCCAACGAAACTAAATTAAATTTTAAATGAAACATTTTTAATTAATTTTGCATGCATTTATATTCTGCAAAAAGCAGTGATTAATCATTTAATTATTAAATAATGCTGTTCATTTCCGCCACAACAAAGCTCGTATGGACGTTTTTATAAAGCGATTGCTGAAA